CTGTCAATGTGGAGCTTAGGAGCTTGCGGGGAGAAGGGGGTGGTTGCAATTCAGCTTAGGGCGTGGCCAGTTGAAATAATTGTGAACACAATCCTGCCACAGTAACAGCAACAACAACGAACAATGCGCGACATCAAATAAACATAAACTATTATCAAGAGAAAAGAAGATCACAGCGGCATAACATGGTCTTATCGACTTTGCACATAAGCGTGGATAGCGATGTTGCTGCCGAGCAGCAGCAACAACAGACGCCAGCAGCAACAATCATACCAAACAGATTAAATGTGCTGGGCGACAACAACAACAACAACAACAATCAAATAATGAGCAACAACAACAGCAATAAAGAACCGCCACAAATGTTAGTTGAAAAGGAAAATGACAAGGAATGCTTGAATTTGAACAACAACACTAACAAATATTGTGATATGAATGGCAATGTGACGAGCAACGAACAACTCTGGCAGCAGCAGCAACAACATCAAGGATCATCATCATCCGCCAGCAATACGCCGCAACGCAGCGCCTCAGCTCTGCGACGTGGCACACAAATTCAGCGCTCTTCGATGCGTTTGCGACAACAACAGGCAAGTGTGGCAAGGTGCAACAACAGCAACACTTGCTGCTGCTGTTGCTGCTGCTGTTGCTGTTGCTGTTGCCATCGTTGTATTTCCCTTTAAATGGCAGCAACCTTCGGCTGCTATCGCCAACTGGCTTTATCTACATATATATATATATATATATATATATATATATATATATCTAGCAAGCGGCAACCAGTTAACAGCAAACTAGGCTAACTGGCTGACGTAGTTGCGCGACAACAACAGCAGCAACAGCAGCAACAACAGCAACAACAGCAACAGCTTTGCAGCGTTAGCCTAGAGATTTCTTTGACAAAGCCACTTTGATACTCTAGAAAAAAATTGAATTCATATAGTATAATTAATATGATATGTAATAGCAATTGAAGATGATGTAAGGCTCTTCTGAATTCCTTGGAATTCCTAGCTAAAGAGCCATTCCATTGGAAATTTGATTTCGTTTTGTATGTGGCCAAACAATTTGTGGCTCGTCAGATAACTCGCATTTGCCTGAATTATGCAGCTTACAATTTGTTATTGTGTTCATAATGCATATCTCAATTTCGTAATAACATATAGGAAAATAAACAAATATTTCCCATTTAAATTTATGACAAATCCAATCAAAGTCAACAATTGGTTTGTTTACTTTTCTCTGTAAATTCCAAACTAAAAGATTGTTAAGAGTTTGACATGGTTTCTGATTGACTTTAGAGAAATTCTAAAGGGTAATAGATAATGTGGTGTTCCGATAAATGTGGATATTGGCAATGAGAAATATTTCTTGAATTCGATTGAATTCGATGAATACGATTCTAAAATATTTACATATTTTATGCAATATATTTTTTAATATTGTATAATATTATTCTATAATATATATATTTTATATTATATAATATTTATATTATTTTTTTATTTATTTATTTACACCGCTTGATCTTCGCTTATACCATTTGAATTGGTAAACATAAGGTATATTCTTTATTGCCTTTTGCTTCCCATTTCGCAGAGATTTCGACTGAGAAAGAATAATTTCAATGCCATTCCATGTCACGCAATCTGTCATGTAGCTAATATGCCCATGGTCAGTAAGAGTTAGTGAGCATAACAATAAAAACAAACACGACGGGACGGAATAGGCAAGTTAATAAATTTTTAATTTTTGTGTTACGCGGATTTGCAATATTTACTTTGTGCCCGACGACGAAAATGTTGATGACGATGATGATGATGATGACGATGATGAGGTTGATAACGACAATGATGATGATGATGTCATGGTCTGTACATTCGCAGCAACAACAGCAGCAATAACAACCAGAAGTAGAACTAGCATTGAGTTGTTGCTGGTTGACATACCCTGTAAATGGTTAAGCAGAGAGGGTATACTGCTTCTACCAGTCATTGGGATTTTAATAGGATATGCAAACGTTGTGTATGCAGATCTTATGCAATACAAACTTACCACATTCGTATATCGCACTGTGACAGGGTATTTGCTAGTCGAGCAATGTCACCGTGCTTACATTTACTTGTTTTACAATTGTTGTCACTTGCTGCTGCTGTTACTGTTGTTGTGGGATGATTGATGAGCCGTAGCTTTAGCGTGCTTTTTTTGTTGATCTGGGCTTAGTGGCAGATCAAAAAGGGGTGCCTCGAGCACCCTTTGCCTGTCCCCAACCCGCGCCCCAGTCAGTTTCTTTTGAATTGAATTTAATCAAATTGCGCATCTCAATTAATAGTTGCGTGTGTGCAGCAATACCCTAGACTGTCATGGGCCATAGGGTATACACGTTGCCAGACTTTCGCGTTCTAGACTTTGAATAGCAATATTTGTTTTGTTATACCCTGATCCCATTAAAAATGGGAAATCAGGGTATAATGGTTTTGTGCAAATGTATGTAACAGGCAGAAGGAGGCGTGGCAGACCCCATAAAGTATATATATTCTTGATCAGGACGACAAGCCGAGTCGATTGAGCCCTGTCCGTCTGTCTGTCTGTCCGTCTGTCCGTCTGTCCGTCTGTCCGTCTGTCCGTCTGTCCGTATGTGTGAACGCGTGGATCTCAGCATCTATAAGAGCTAGAGACTTGAAATTTTTTTTGTAGGTCCGTGTATAGCACGCGCAGGTCAAGTTTGTTTCAAATATTCGATAACTATTCGCATTTAATTGTTATCGAATAAAAACATTATTGAAATGCAGTAAATAAATTATATCTCGAACGTCTTAAGAGCTAGAGCCTCCAAATTTTGTATTTAGTGTTATGTATATTTTATGCAATTTTGATTTTTGTTGGATTTTGGATACCGGCTCCAAATTCCCCCAAATTCTTAGAATTTAAGTTTAGTTGGAACTAGGGCCATTATGTGAAGGCGTTTGCATCTCAACCAAGCCAATAGGATATGTAGATCATATGCTGAAAATTTCATTAAAATCCATTAAGTAAAACAGAAGTTATTAAACAAAACGTTTGGCCAATTTGCAAAAGCACATGTCAGCAGCGCCACGCGCACGCATTTTTCCTATGCGTGTGCACACATACATTCAAATGCGTGTATACTTTTCTATTCCAAGAATTGAAATTGCGATTGAATTGTGCTGAATTATTAGCTGCTACTTATGTTCAAATTTGCAACAGCTCGCGTAAGAAGGGCAGTGGCTGCGTTGGTAGAGGCACCTCTCGGATGCAGCTTGGTCCGGGTTCGAGACCAGAGGAGATGAAATGTTTTTTATTGTTTTATATTATTTATTTATTTTTTTTTTTTAGTTATGAAGTGGCGGTGTTGGTAGAGTTTGTGCACGTTGCGCAAATAATCCGGGTTCGAATCCTGGTCTCGCAATGTCGATTTTTATTTGTTTTCTTTTTTTTTTAATACTCGATACAAACTACGGAAAATATTACAAAACTCAAAGGACTGGGATCAGGGTATCTCCTAGTCGGGCACCCCGACTAGAGCTTTCTTACTTGTTTTTATTTAGGTTTCTTGTTCAATGTCAAACTCGTTTTTTTTTTACCTTTTTATCGTATTTTTTATAGTCACGCCGACAGACTGAACTATCCGTTAAGCCCAGCCCCTCTCCTGCCCTCTTCGTCTCTGTCACTCGCTCTCTGTCTGCATGTGCTGTCTGTATTATATTTGCTGATGTTGTCGCTTCTTCTTCTTCTTCTTTTTCTTGTACGTCTCTCTTTGCGCTTCTCATGCGCTGCGGCAAGTTCACATTATGCAAGTTCAGCGAATTTGATTCTCGCTTTTATTTCTCTCGCTCTTTCTCTCTCTCTCTCCCTCTCTCTTTCTCTTAAGCTTTGTGTGAGCCGTCTTTTGTTGTTATTCAATTAAGTTTTTTTACTTTTCTTGCATTTGTTTCTTCTTGAAGACAAATGTGTGAGAAAATTGGCCACAAGGTCCCGGGTGAGATTTTGGCCAGCTTTGTTATCTGCGCCTCTCTTGCTCGCTCCCTCTCTCCATCTCTCTGTTTATCTGTTTTGGTCAAGTTTTGAAGCGGAACCCAGAAACTCAACTTAGACACGCGTCTGCTTGAAATTTATTATATGTATCTCATCGATATGGCTCACTTCTTCTGCTCTACACAAAAAGCTGTTATCAATACATTTATACATACAGACATTTATGTCAAATTGTTCAGTTAGGGAATATATGCAATATATAAGAAACTATTCTTATATATTGCATATATAGATAGACTTCTCAATAATATAATTATAAAATATGTTTATATTATTATTGTGCCAATTGCACGCTACGCACTTAACTTTGCTCAACAAACTCTTATTATAAAACCTAAACAAATTTAAGCACGGACTTTTATCTCTCTAGAATTTGGGCTTTTAACTGCTAAGTGCATGTTTGACAGTCTCTTTGGCGCATGCATTCCACAGTTTGACATGCAGTGGGGGGCGGAGTCGCATTGTTTGCCTGCTGACCCAGTGCTAAGCGAGCCAAGCACTTGCATGGCATCTCTAAGCATTTGCCACTGCCGCACGCATTACGCTCTCCATCCCCCTCGGCTGTGGGCACCCCTTGCCTAGGCAGAGTTTTCGCTCTTGTTGTAGTTTATAGTTTTTGGGGCAGTTGCGGCACATTACGCACAGCTTGTAGCAGGTGGCAAGAATTTGATGCATGTACGTACAATTTGCAGGGTATGCACACAGTCGTAACTCTTTGTGTTTTCCTTTTCATCAGACTTTACAAAGGCTGCTAATTCAATTAGCATAAAAACGGCGCTCGAAAGCGGATTAAGTACGCCAGCTGAAGCCTCAAAGTTCAACTGACCACAGCGAACCCTTCCTCACTCTCTCCCTCTCCCTCTCTCTCTCTTTCTCTTTCTCTTTCTCTCACTCTCGCTTGACGCCTCAATCTCACACGCACACTTTCACTCTGTCTCTTTTAGGAGCAATTGCGACGTCGACGTGAGGAGGAGGAGCGCATAGCCCAGCAGAATGAGTTCCTGCGCAACAGCTTGCGTGGCTCACGCAAGCTCAAGGCGCTGCAGGATACGGCCACGGCCACGCCCACGGCCGGCAAGGCGCTCGCCCAGCAGCAGCATGCGGCAGCAACAGCAACAATCGCTGGCGTTGAGAACGAGGCCTATCTGCCTGATGAGGACCTGCTGCCAGCGGAACACATCGATGGTAAGTGCCAACGCCTGAGTCGCTTATGATTAAATGTTGACAAGTAGCTGTCACTCAGTAAACAAAAGAAAGTAAGGCGAAAGATCTAATGTTAACCCATTGATCAGCATCGACTCGGCTACAGATACTCGGCTGCGACTGAACATCTGAATAAGCCTCGTTCTCAGTTCAAATTATTGATAGCTCACAAAGTGCTACATGAAAATAGATAATCGATTTTAATCGATTTTAAACTAATAACACTCTAAGATAATGAGACCCGTGAATTTCTAAAGATGTAGCTTCAAGATATCGAAATTAAATGAGACCGATTCTTAATAATACAATGTATATAGTGCAGTCGATTCTTGAGTAGGGGAATTGATTCTTCCTCATGCATGTATACCCTTAGGTTCCCATATAAAAGCAATTCATTTCATAAGATATAGTTTGAAGACATAGAAATTGAATTAGAAGACATGTGTTTTTGGTCATGTATAATCTTAGCATTAGGCATTAGATGCACCTAGCTAATTTGGCGAAACTCTGTTTGCAGGCTACGGGGAGCTCATCGCGGCGCTGACGCGCCTCCAGAGCCAGCTGGCAAAGAGCGGTCTCAGCAACCTAGCGGGAAGAGTTTCGGCGGCGCACAATGTGCTGGCCAGCGCCAGTGTGGCTCATGTGCTGGCCGCCAGGAGCGCTGTGCTGCAGCGCAGGCGACCTCGGGTGGCCGGGCCGGTGCATTCGGGTGCACTGGTCTTGCAGAAGGAGATTGTGGAGCTGCTGACGCAGTCGAATACAGCGACTGCCATTGAGCTGGGCAATCTGCTGACCAGCCACGAAATGGAGGGTTTACTGTTGGCGCACGACCGCATTGCCAGCCATACGGATGCATCTCCCTCGCCAATGCCCACGCCGACACCGACGCCATCGCAAACGCCGACAGCGACGGCCACCACGCTGAGTGGCCATAGCAGTCCCGTGGCTGGGGCTAAGGCAACGGCAACGTCGAGCAATAGAACGGCAATGGCTGTGCTGCCGCCAGTTGTGCCGCCAGTGGCCAGCTCGGTGGCGCAGCGTGGAGCTATGCCGCTGCCAGTGGCGGTAGCAGTGCGTGGCGAATCGCCTCCAGGCATGAGCGCCTGCTTCGGCACACTGAACGATCAGAACGACAACATACGCATCATACAGATCGAGAAATCGACCGAGCCGCTGGGCGCGACGGTGCGCAATGAGGGCGAGGCGGTGGTCATTGGTCGCATTGTGCGCGGCGGTGCCGCCGAGAAGTCGGGTCTACTGCACGAGGGCGATGAGATACTGGAGGTGAATGGCCAGGAGCTGCGCGGCAAGACGGTGAATGAGGTATGCGCCCTGTTGGGCGCCATGCAGGGCACGCTCACGTTTTTGATTGTGCCCGCTGGCAGTCCACCACCCGGTGGTGGCATCTGCAGCGGCCTAGGCATGCATCATGTGGGCGGGATGGCGCATCGTGATACGGCCGTGCTGCATGTGCGTGCACATTTCGATTATGATCCGGAGGATGATCTGTACATACCGTGCCGAGAGCTGGGCATTAGCTTCCAGAAGGGCGATGTGCTGCATGTGATATCCCGTGAGGATCCCAACTGGTGGCAGGCGTATCGCGAGGGCGAGGAGGATCAAACGCTGGCCGGCCTCATTCCTAGTCAGTCCTTCCAGCATCAGCGCGAGACCATGAAGCTAGCCATTGCCGAGGAGGCGGGTCTGGCGCGTTCTCGTGGCAAGGAGGGTGCTGCCAGCAAGGGTGCAACGCTCCTCTGTGCTCGCAAGGGCCGCAAGAAAAAGAAGAAGGCCAGCTCCGAGGCGGGGTAAGTCGACATGCTAGCTAAACTCTTATATTACACACGCTCTCAATGCATTCTTATGCCATCGCAGTTATCCGCTGTATGCGACAACTGCGCCCGACGAAACGGATCCCGAGGAGATACTCACCTACGAGGAGGTTGCGCTCTACTATCCCCGCGCCACCCACAAGCGCCCCATTGTCCTTATCGGCCCACCCAACATTGGCAGGCACGAGCTACGTCAGCGCTTGATGGCTGACTCCGAGCGTTTCTCGGCTGCAGTGCCACGTAAGTAGAAGATTACTCCTAGTTCCATTTTCCATTATCCCTGCGCGCTCTGCCCTGTCTCTCTCTATTTTGTCTGTCTTAATTACTCTTACTCTCTCTCGCAGTTTTCTATTTGCTTGAGGAGAAATTTAAACCAGCAGCCAAGGGTAAAGCAGTCGCAACTGATTCCCAGCGCATTGCTAGCGTTACCCTAACACTGAGTAAAGCACATCAGTTACATAGAGGATCTGTCGGAAGCATGGGTTTCCGCTTTTCGGCTGTATGCCTTTATTGTTTCTGGTACGCCTTTGCGGTCTGTAACATAAGTCGCATAGGATCTATCGAAAGAATGAGTCTATTTTCATTCCTCTCGTGTTACGCATGCGTCTTTGCTCAGTGCTGGCTTTTTACACCCAACTCCCTCAGTATCCTTGCACTACTGTGTCTTCATAACGATATCCATTTATTTCAACTACCTTTCTTACACATATGCAGACACGTCACGTGCCCGGCGCGAGGGCGAGGTGCCCGGCGTGGATTATCATTTCATCACGCGACAGGCCTTCGAGGCCGACATTTTGGCGCGTCGCTTTGTCGAGCATGGCGAGTACGAAAAAGCCTACTACGGTAAGTGTCACACGCCCAGCATATGGCAGATATATTCATGAAAGCTGTTCAATTACAGGCACGTCACTGGAGGCCATACGCACAGTCGTGGCCAGTGGTAAGATTTGTGTGCTGAACTTGCATCCGCAGAGCCTGAAGCTGCTGCGTGCCTCCGACCTGAAGCCCTATGTGGTGTTGGTGGCACCGCCTAGCCTCGACAAGCTGCGGCAGAAGAAGCTACGCAACGGCGAGCCTTTCAAGGTGTGTTATCGTTATCATTATCAGTATCGGTATCGTTATCATGAACTGAAAAATCATTGAGATCTAATCTTCGTAAACGTCATAGAACTTATCGATAAATCATAATCGAAAATTCACGTTATTTAACTCTACGTTATTACTGTTTGCCAGGAGGAGGAGCTGAAGGACATCATCGCCACCGCACGAGACATGGAGGCGCGCTGGGGTCATCTGTTCGATATGATCATTATCAACAACGATACGGAGCGGGCTTATCACCAACTGCTGGCCGAGATCAATTCGCTGGAGCGCGAACCTCAATGGGTGCCCGCTCAGTGGGTGCACAACAATCGCGACGAATCATAATATCCTCAGCTGCGACTGTTGCCCTAGATCCACAGTCAGATCAAGATCAAGATCCAGCCACAGGTTCAGCGCCAGTCAGCGTTTGCTTTGTAAATACGTTTCAATTCAGCCATGTGAAGGTGAAGCAGCTGTCGAGTCAGCAGATCAGCAGATCAGCAGATGAGCAGATCAGCGGGTCAACGGGTCAAATGATCCCTTCGCAATGTGTATTATCGGGCATAGAGTATCTGCACATACACATACAGCTATATATACATATATATATATATATATGTATAGTGTGCCCATTTAACTACTTATTTACTTTTGTACTTAACCCGCTCCCATATACTCTTATTATTTATGAATGTGTGTGTATGTGTATTGTTTGTTGCAAATACATGTGAAGCATTGCGAAATGAAACAACATGTTTTCAAGCATTCCAATTATTAAATTTATCTATATATATTATACTTTTTTTTTTTACTTTAACTTTATGTATGTTCACAAAAAATTGTTATTCAATTGTAATATTGAAAACCCATATTTTTTTTATATATTTTCCTTTATGTATTTTCATTTATAAGAAATATTTGTTGAGCACTTCCTTAATTTCAAGGGCAAATTGAAATTGTAAAAAAGCAAAATATAAGAGTTTCAGTTGTAACGGGGGCCAGTCTGTACTCTAGTTCGAATTCGAAATCGAATTCCAGCTCCTACTCAAGATCTTCATTCATTAACAGAACAAAAACAAAGATCCCTGCTAAGTGCGCGAAAGGGAGAGAGCGAGAGGTAGAGAATGGAAGTGCGAAGGGCAGAAACAAGCAAATGTTACAATTACGTAATCTATTTACTTTATTTAAATATATATACATATATTAATATATGTATGCGTATAAATATACACATAAATTATATGCAAAAAAAAAACAATTAATTTTTAATAACAAGCTACAAGAGAGCAGCAAATGAAGCGAACGATAGAAAGAGATAGTAATAGATAACAACAACAACAAAATCAACAAGAATAGCAACAACAACAAAGAAAGGAAGCAGAACGTCATTGCCAAATAAACAAAAGCAAAATAATAAATATATTAACAAATACCAAGTATGATTATAAAAACATAAACAAAAACAAAAAACATTCCGCCAGCAAGCAAAAATAGTATGAAATACAAAATGAAATAGAATCTTATATAGGCACTGTAAAAAATAAATATAAAAATTAAAAATTAAAAAAAAAATTGAATAAACAATTGAAGAAATAACTAGGCAATAGGCTAAGCGAAACGCAGAATGGAATAAACAAACATGCAAAACAAAACAAAAATGAAAAGATAAAAAATAAAATAAATGTTGTAATTAATTATTTAAAATGCGAATAGAAAATTGCAAGAATATAATAACAAAATGACGAAGCAAAACTGAAAGTCTAAAACGAATTAGTTGCAAATTTTAGACATGAATATATATATATATATATAAATATATATATATATATATATATATATATATATATATATATATATATATATATATATATATATATATATATATATATATATATATATATATAATACATTTATAACAAATTTGTTGAATGTGCAACAATTTTATTAAGGATATGCTAAAACAAAAAAAAAAACAACAAAAACGGCGTCAAGTAAATAAATTAGCTAACTATGTTACACAATGTTGAACACTTCAAAGATTCTAAAACACGGCAAAGAAAAACAAACAAACAACAACAAAAAACGAAAAGTATATAAATATAACATTTTTTTTTGTGTAGTCAGCAAGGTATAAAACAAAAATGTGTGTGCAGTAAATTTGTTTAAGTTTTTATTTATACGTATTGAAAAAACAAAAATCCAATAAATATGAAAACTAATTAATAACACTATCAATTTAGTACATTTGATGTATGAACGAGAGCAAACAGAGAAATAAATAAAATATCATATTTAAATTTCAGTTTATTTGGCGGCATAGCGTTGCCAGAAGTTGCACTCGCAGCGCACAATTGGAACAATGGCGGCTAACAGAAGTGCTTGGCACTTAACAGAGTTTACGCTAGCAGTGTGACCATCGTGCGCAACAGCGCATTGTGAGTTAACATACAGTCTTGCAGCACAAAGTTCAATTGCTTGCCTCTCTCTCATTTTATTTCGACTAAGCGAACTGTTCGGGCGCGTTGGCTGAGAGCGTTCGTTAGCGTTGCTTGGCAATTCTTTAATTTTTTTTTTGCGCTTTTGCTAATTGTGTGATATCAAACTGTATTTTGTTTCCGCCAGTGTGAGCGTGCCTGACTATTTTTTATGGTCAAAAAATAATCTTACCACAAGCATGTGTCGAAGTACAAATTTTTGCTAACTGAATTAAAACCGGTTGTGTACCCTCAACATTGAAGTAGCTTAAGAGCGGCAGCAAATAACAATAAACAAATCAACGCAGTGTTTTTAGTCATCCACCGCTTGCCCACCGTGAAATAAAGAGAGAATGCCTGTTAAGTCAGTGGCCCGCCAGCAGAGCCAGACGCCCGCTCAGCAGCTGCAGCAGCAGCACCAGCGGGATGTGGAAAATGGCCTCTATCCGAATATACCGCCCGAGCGGCGATCGCCGACACGTCCAGTGCGGCCGCCAACGATGCGTCAGGACACCATCGATATGGAGGAGATACCTCTCAATAACTCCAATTCACAGCAAGAGCCAGATGAGCGTCAAAAAATGCGACAATTATTCGACAAGGTAAGCAAAATTCTCAGTCGAAAAAAATAAAAAATGGAATGAATTCCCTCGTCGCTCTCTATCTCGCTCTGCCGGTGCCGCTCAGAGAGTATGCATGAATGAATTTCCTTGTTTTTTTTGAGACGTCCGTCTCTACGCGCTCCCTTCGCCGTGGTGAAAGTTTGTCTGAGCTGCGCGTGTCGAACCAGCCAACTGGGTGAATCATCACCAGTCACCCGTTACTTCTCACCCCAATCACATCAGATTGTTGCTTCGTATATGTGAGTGCATTGCTTATTGTCACGCCTTACATATATGTATATGCATTCACATGCATAAACACATACTTATGCATACATGCTGCTGAAACTGTTGGTGCCAATGCCGCTGCGACTGCGCGTCTTTTGCATTCCGTGGAAGAGCGAGCTTATCAATGTCACGTCTCCCAGTCTGGCAAACAGAGCATTCACTTAATTTCGCACTTTTGCTCAATTCGCCTTAAAAATAAACTATTTGCTCTTCTTTGCTGGCTTTTGCAACAACAACTGCTAACTGAGAACCAGTGAGAACGTCTTATCGCTAACAAATATCAACCGGTTCGATGGCTACCTATACACACGCATACACATACGTTCTTATACATTAACATGTGTTTCCATGTATGTGTTTATTTATGGGTAGGTTTAGTAGGAAACATTACAAAATTCTTAAGTGCCGCTCCCCACGCCACCCTTTGAGAATGGGTCTTCAGGTTGTAATATCGGGAGCAACCGTGCAGTCGATCTATAGTAAGAGTTAGTGACCTGAAATCTTGGCTAAGGTCGCACTTTAACATATCTGTTCGTGCTTTCATTCAATCAATTGAAGGCATTCTTAGAGAGCTCGAGTCACCAATACTTGTATTTATTCATATATTATAAATTTAGCGAAATTTCAAATACATATGCAACATACCAAAGAGATTGAACTTTGTACTACATGTTTACCATGTGCTATGTACATTTGATAGAAGTTGTTCATTGTGTGATTTGTCAACTGTCAACAATTTTAGTTTATTGCAATATGTTCTGGGTATATTCTAGTCGGGCACCCCGATTAGAATGCTCTCAACTTGCTTGGTTTTGTTCTTTGCGGTGTTTGTGTTACGGTTTCTGTTGAACAACATTCCATGCTGTTAGTTGGCTTCGAGTGCAATTGTCCCTTTCTCTCCAGCATTCAGCATTCAGCATTCGCTCACCCTGTCTCCCTCTCTCGCTCCCTTTCTTTCTTTCCCCCATTCGTTCATTGGCCTCTAACAACGAAAACAAAAAGAGCAACACGTAAATCGCATTTCATCAGTTTTGCCTTAACCCGTTTGCGATGATTCTTCGTGTCTTTCTTTGCTATTGCTTCTAGTTCGTGAACAGAATCCATTCGTTAGTATCTGGTATGTATTTAGCATGGCATCTCAATTAGCATCGGCATGATGGTTGCTTTTGTTTTGTTTCGTTTTCTTCTCTCTCTCTCTCTCTCTCTTTCTCTCTCTCTCTCTCTCTCTCTCTCTCTCTCTCTCTCTCTTTCTCTCTCTCCCTCTCTCTCTCTCTCTTTCTGTCAATTTTTTATTTTGTGAAAAAAACCTACTTCGCATAACCCAATTCAATAGCAAAACACCTGTATGTGCTATCTTATCTTTTTGGTTCGAGTAATTCCACGACTGAAAACCCCAAGCAACCAAACGCCAAACAATTCAATGCCATTTTCTAATACACACACACATAACACATACACATGCACATGCACATGCATTACATTATGAGCATACATCCATAGGACATGGATGCATGCATGACTAACAGATTGACAGAGGCAAACTGGAATTAGTGACTCAATAACTGTGAACTTTTTTATTAATAATTAGTTTTTTCTTACCTCCTCTCGTTTTTGCTTGCCTTGATTGTAATCTATAAATATATAAACTTTCTATATATATAGAAATATATATATATATATAGATATATATCAATTGGCATGTGTTTGTACATATTTTAACTCTAACTGTTTATTGTGGACGCCATACACACAACATTTACTCATAAATTTATAAATAATAGTTTTGCGGCTTTTATTGCCACAAATAAAACAAATAAAAATTCTTAGTATAAAACGAACCAAAACTTGCTTATCCAGCTAATGAAAGCTAATATAAAAGTTTAAGGTATGGCTTATCGATCGAACCTGAAGAGGCTGTAGACGATCATACTTGAATAGCTTCAACTTCAATAGGGAAACTAGATCGTTTTTTCAAGAATTGGGTATCTCCATGAAGTAATAAGTTCACTTTGAGTCGTATTTGAGTTGTGAACTATAAGCGTTCATTTAGTTCACCAGTTCACAGTTAGTGCAGCTGAAGACCGATTTTTGCTTAGGTATTCACTGGAGTGAACTCCGAGTGAACCGCTCAAGAGAACGTAATCCTCATGACAGCAAATCAACTAAAAAGAGAATATCGCTAAACTATTTTGCTAACTGATCTGTGGTTCTTCAGAACGTCACAAGAAAAGGCCACAAATGCAGCATTAACATTGTACTCAACTAATAGACCCCTTTTCACATCGGAATAGAGCTGTTCAATGCGTAACTGCCTAATGAGCAATGAAAATGCACTTTATATAGACATCAGAGACTCGAAGTGACTTGAGCTAATAGCACAGACCACAGGGCAGAGTAGCCAAGTGTATCAGACTCTACGTTTGCCAGAAGGACGACGAAGTATTACTGTCAGACGCCATTGCTCTGTTCTTGGGAAACAAAGTGATTGGGAATATCTCCAACATATCAAATGGCGTTGGGCCCGTTCAGCTGAATCAGTTGGGAAAACGTAATAGCTAAACTTGTTCACATATCAGCTGTCATAATACACCATATGCCGTTTTTATACTGTATAACATTTAGCGAAAAAGGCAACTTACACTTAACGTAAACTACGAAGGGGATTAATGTCGGTCAGTCTGTCAGTCCGTCGTCTGTCTGTCTGTTTGCACAAGTGTTTGCCAGTCTAGTGTTTGCTGTTTGCTGATTGTTGTTTGCTACAGCCCCGATTCGATTGCAGCTTTGATGCATTTGTCGAATTATTCGAATCGATTTGGGCATCTCATTGGCTAACCGGCCATTTGTGGCACCTTGTTTTGGCCGCATTTGGGTCTTGATTTGTTGCATCAGTTGCGTGCAGCATTTGTGGCAGTCACACAAACAAGTTTCACCTTTTGTTTGGAATTTGGTGTTTTTTATTTGAAATTTGGAATATGGAAAGTGGGTGGAAAAAACAGACTACGGAAACGATTTGGGAATCAGAATCGAAATCTTAGCCATTGATAGGCATTATGGCATTGTCATTATGGCATTATGGTATGCGGCATGCCGACCCTCAGGCTGAGTTTCAGTCATCCTTGACCTCCACAAAATGATCGTCGTCGCCGTCGTCGGCGGGCAGATCGAAGTAGAGCTCTTTAGCTTTCGGTGCGGCTCGATTCTTCAATTGCAGTCGATGGGACTCCTCCTCGTCGGTTAGCTGCACTGCATCCTGCCAATTGTCCAGCACAAGCTTCTTTCTCGATCTCTTGTTGGCCCCATTTGCCGAATGTCTGCTGCGGCGCCGTTGGTGCTGCTGCTGCTTTCGCGTCTCTCGGTTACGCAACGTCGGTGAGCCCTGCGTCAGTTGCCTGGGTATGACGTTCGCTCCAATGAAGAGTCCTGCCAGGACCGTATATATGCCTATGATGGTGCCAACGCCCGAAGACTCCTGCAGCGCGTTCTCGTCATCGTCGTGGTAGTCGCAGTTGCACTGGTCGTCCTCCTGGTCCAACCACCAACCCATCATATTCTTGCTAATCTGCCACAACTGCGTCATTTTGCAACGGAAATTTTCGACTTAAAATTGGAGCTATGGGATCTATGGAAGCTATAGCCACTTGCGATAGATAACAATTTAGAACTCGCAAGAATGCGCCGATCCCTTAACCCACGCGGAGCTTATTCTGCTTCCTGCTGCTGGCCAAATGAAGCACAGAGCTCACGACTCAGCTACAATGATGCTTTGCTTTTTATTCCGAGATATTTTCCTTACAATTTGAGTGACTTTCACCAGATGGAACTGACATAATTCCCGTAATACCCCCAAAGTTACTCAGCCTCGCCTACTATTCAGAAATCGAAATAATGTAAATTATAAATGTGGATTACTGGAGAGATACTTGGTACACGATATGATATATGCGTGGACATGTTATTTTAGGCCAGTCCTTAGAGGAAGTCTTCAGTAACCTAATTGTCGATTTAATTGTGGTCCCCGAGTGGACGTGGACGTGGCCATGTCTGTAAAGGATGTTTTTCGTGGCAAATGTTTGGGCTGTAGCTCTACAATTGTGGGAGGTACAGTCTTGCCCGATGTGCCCAGCTCCCAATAGGCATAGATCTATCCACTATATCTTTGTCAATAGGTACCCACGACCTATGACGACTATATATTCAAGTCAAGTTGTATTCACACGGACAGACGGACTTACCGAGGGAGAGCAGGACGGAAATTGCACAAAATCAATATACTCTTTCACTTCATATACTAAGAGGTATATATACTACTGGTATATCTTGTAGGGATCGCCCGACTAGGAGATACCCTGAACCCAGCATGGAGCTAAAATTCTAATCATTCTACGCCTCCATAGCATTCATAACAAACAAGGCACCTACACACACATACACACGCACACACACATCAGCCAGCACGACGCTTAAAAATCCAAATTAAGTAAAAACGATTAGCTCGCACTATCGGACATAGCTTTTGATATGACTCAGTGCGCCCTCCAAATCAATGAAGTATATGCTTCGGGTGGTCTTCTAATACTCTTGCTGCCGCCTGTCACTAAACCAATATTGCCTGAAACCCTATTTGTAATGGCTTCAGGGTATAAAAATAAGCTTAAATTTTCCATTGCAAACCATTGCAACCGACTACTAGATACTCTTTTACAGTTCAACAGCTGAGCTCATAAACAGTCCGAAAATATTTTGAATCAATCTTCATTGGCGCTCAGTAGAGCACTAGATTAAAGCTGGAAATAGATTTTCCTGAATTACCATACCAACCTAAAATATTGATAGACATTGTAAGAAATCAATATGCTCTTGCATATTTGAAATTCTTTATATTGGCAGCAGGAAATCCGTGAAAAAAGTGAAATAAATATTGGGGCGAGATATAAATAAAAATCGTATTTGACATATATATAGATAACATATGGAGCGACATGCTTAATATGAATTGAATATCTTCTGAATTGCAGCATGACGCGGATCGAGATGGCCTTATCGAAATACACGAGCTGAAGGATCTAATTTCGACTGGCTGCTGCCACGATATACCCCCCTACATTGCCGAGCAGATATTGCACCGCAGTGATGTGGATAACAATGGACATCTGGACTTTGAGGAGTTCTATAGCATGTCGCTGCGCCACAAGTTTATGATACGCAATATGCTCACCAGGTATTGTCGGTATGTGGTGCCGCCGCCGCGGCCGCTGGAGGGCGACGAGCCTGATGGTGCGTACGAGAAACAAATGTCCATCTGTCCGCCGCCGCTGACTATGGTCATTTTCTCCATCATTGAGATCATCATGTTTCTGGTGGATGTCATTTACTTTCAGTAAGTTCATTGTGTTCAATTCTTCGTCTTTGTTTTGCTGATGACTCTGTATTTGCGCCAACAGGGACGATCCGAACCACAACCAGCGCCTGGGCGAGAGCACCAATGGACCAGCGGCGACGCTCTGCATTTACAATCCGTACAAGCGTTACGAATCGTGGCGCTTTCTCAGCTACATGTTTGTGCACGTGGGCATCATGCACCTCATGATGAACCTGATCATACAAATCTTCCTTGGCATTGCTCTGGAGTTGGTGCATCACTGGTGGCGAGTAGCGCTCGTCTACTTGGCTGGCGTACTAGCCGGATCTATGGGTACCTCGCTGACCAGCCCACGTATCTTTCTGGCAGGCGCCTCGGGCGGAGTGTATGCATTGATCACTGCGCACATTGCCACGATCATTATGGTGAGTTTCAAGAATGTACCAAAGACAAACTTCGTTTAACAGTAATTTTTCATCTACAGAACTACACGGAAATGGAGTACGCCATTGTGCAACTGCTTTTATTCCTTGTGTTTTGCTTCACCGATCTGGGCACGTCAGTATACCGTCATTTAACTGATCAGCATGACCAAATAGGGTATATTGCGCATTTGTCTGGAGCCTTGGCTGGCCTTCTTGTAGGCATCGGAGTGCTGCGAAACCTGGAGGTGCGTCGCTGGGAACGGATACTTTGGTGGATAGCTGTCATCTTCTACTTTGCCCTCATGACCACCGGCATCATTGTGCACATCTTTGTGCCCGACTACTTTCCCAAGGCCGAAATCAACTGAGATGTGCAGCAATGACAAATTAACTTTAAGTCACGCAGCCGTAGCCTTAGCCTTAGTCTCAGGTTGTCCATGTACATGTCCAAAGTGCACTTGATTTTTATCTTGATCTAGGCCATCCCTTAGCTTGAGTACATGTAGTTCGATAAGCTTCAAACCATGCTATTACTATTAACTTATTTCGTAACGAGTGTCGAGCGTCTCTACCTTTATAAACTTATTTTATTGATTACCAATAACACTTTGCCACCCCAATGTATTTACTCTCATGTCACCTGATTACATAAGAAATCGTCTATACGGACACACACACACATGTACTACTTATACTTATCTTTTATTCATATATATATTTATATATATAAATAGTTAAGCAGAATGCTATTCGCTTTCCTCCTCTTCGAATTGAAAACCAACTCCATTTGCTCTGGACCTGACACTATACCCTAAGTGGGAACCAAAATACAAATCCTTGCGCCTTTTGTAAATACAAATATTGCTTTCTATATTATAAGCAACATACACTGTGCGCTTAGAAGCAAGAGAAAAGTATTTAAAACAAATCAATGCAAAGAGGAAGTCGCTTATCTCCATTTGCTAGGGTATTTTGTTCGTTGTACTCATTTTACACAACTTTCTGAATAAAAAGAATATATGTTCTGTTCCATGTTTAATATACGTCTATATTACCCTACAAACTTATTTATTTTTGTATCATTTATATTACATTTGCGTACTATGCTGGCCTTTTACTTACGCACAACGCTATCTAAACATGTAAAAGTATTTTTATCCAGTTGGAAAGCACAGTAGTGCGTCTTGCAAGACATTAGCATCATAAATAAAGTCAAGTCATTCTTCACTGCGATTATTACAAAATATTTACACAGAATGCACAGAATTACGCGACTCTGCAATTAAATATATACTAGATTTAGATATATTTGTATGTTTTTGATATATATATATATACAGAAAAAATAAAGATTAATTTTTTACAAAAGCAAACGCATTAATTTTTTGATAGATTTTTTTTGATTTATGTATTTAACGTTTGTTCATAAAAACGTTTCTGTTGTGAAAACAATATATACATATAAAATATATATATACATATATCATATATGTGTCTATAACTTAAAATACTCTGGGTTTTGCGCCACAAGGTATTGTGTAGCGTGTGATGGTGAAATTGAGACTCAGTCTATTTTCTCTCAAAGAACAACCGGGCGGCAGATACGTTATAAACGTAACGGTACTCACCCATATCCCATTACACCCTGAAGACTACATACTATATATAGAATATGTAGAAATCATACATATATATACATATATATATATATAAAGTTTATGCATATTATATATATACTATATATGTACAAATGTATAAAAAGGGAGCAGTGGAAAAGGTTAATTATGCGAAATTCCGGCTGCGTCAGTCGGTAAAGCCGGAAGGAATTTAAGATTGGTTGTCTCGCCCTGGGAGACCTTAGCGACTGTCAGCCAGGCCTGTGGCATCATGTGGTGTAGAATGGACTCGAGGCGATCGACTGGCAAGTAAGCAATTGGCTCGTCGGACTCGTTAAGTACATCATTGTCTGGGACGCCAGGTATAGGCAATGCTACCGGAATGCAATCCTTTTCTTGATTAATGGCCAAGGCGCGAGTGACGCTTAGCAGTTCGTATGTTAGACCCAAACGGAAAACGTTGAGTTGTTCGCTGTTTTCATTGATAGCCTGCATAATATAATACATCATGTAGGCCGTATTGTTATGAAAGTTTGGCATCAGCAGCAGTTCCTGCACTGATTTAGAAGCGGCCAACTGACGACTGAAGTCAGCATCCACGTTGACATTGATAAGCTCCACACGCTTAACACTGCCGCCGGCGGCGAGACCCTCCATTATCTCGTTAATGTTAAACGAGCGATTGCTGTGGTGATTTTCGAGGCGCAGGTGGCGAAGACGCTTTAGACTCGGTAACACTTGTTGGCCGAACGACGCAACTTTCATGCCACGACAGGACCCCAGCACGAGTGTTTCGAGCTGCTTTAATCCTTGCAGCTGCAACAATTCCAGCTGAGCCATATTGTTAATTCCGCGCAAGCTTAGCTCCCGCAATTGTTCCAGATTTTGGAGCGGCTGCAGAGACAAAATACCAGCCTTTGGCTCTAACATGCGTATGCGCAACACACGTAATTCCACCATCTTCTCTATATTAGTCAAGCTGAGTACACGAGTGGTGCATGTTGTGCGCAGCTCCTGCAGACGTGGTATGCGCTTAATAACCGACTGAATGAACTCTGCCTCACATGGATCAGTGCGCAGAATGCGCAGCGCCTTTAGCACACGCATATCACCCTCCATGCGCATTTTGGGATTCTCCATTTTAACGCCCATCATATCCAATTCGTAGGTGCGATAACGCGCCATATCACGCAAAAGGAACAACCATTTGGTTATGTGCGTGTCGCGCAGCTTCAATGTTCGCCACACCCCACGATCGCGGGCAATCATAGCCCAGGTCTTGCACACATGTGACATGCGGACACGATCCTATCAAGAAAACAGCAGTCAGCTTGTTAAGGTTAATGGAATTGATATTATTATCAATTGAGTCTTACGTGCATATCCAGTGTCTTCATAACGGCTGACATCACCTGACAGCTTAAGTTGCCAGCTGAAACACATTCAACGAAATTTTGGCGCTTCTCTTTGGTCCTGGAGTTACGCTTGAGAAAATGTTTTTCATAAATTTCCAAATCCGGTTCTCGTGGTATGCTACAAATAAAAGCAAAAGCGCGAACAATATGTTATTTAATTGTAGTAGAAGCCTTAATTTTTCATTTATAAAGCAATTATGTGGGTGATATTGTTTTCTACCTGGCCATATACTTATCAAACATAAAACCCATCCTTATCATACATGTAGTCCTTAAACGAAATTTCCAGACTTATTTTAAAATCATGTTTGCAATTCACGGAATAGATGTGGCCACAACTAAGTTTCGATAACAGAGTTCTACAACTCTGTTTACGCCTAGATTCTCCCATAGTATTTAATTAGTTGTTCTTGAGCATTCACTTTCCCTACAATTTTTTTCTATATCCAGATCAGAAAATAATTGGGATAATTGTAAGATTATTACAAAAGAACTGGAACTGAACCGAACTGAACAGAGCAGAAGTGATGAAGAAAGGACGTCACATGAGTTTGCCTTCGTTTCGGACTCACACTTGTAAACGAGGGCGCGGCGGCTCGCCAGCAATGGCCAGAGCTTTGCGACCGTTAATCACAACGACTTCCAGTGGTTTGGGCGTGATCTTGTTACCGGCACGACTTGCAGGAGCTTCATCACTGAGCAACTGGTCGGGTGGCAGTGCGCCCGGCAGTTCAATTTCTCCGCCGATTTCAAGCAAGGCTCCATTGCCATTGCTATTACTATTGCCATTGACGTTTAGCTCAGACGACGAAGTCTTGCCTCCATCGGCATCTGTGGCAGATTTGGTATTTGCGTTTACATTCTCATCAATGAGTTCTTGCTTCTTGACACCATTGGCCTGTCCCTGTGCTTGTCCCGCTGGTAATCCTTTGGCTCCCTGCTGCAAGTTGGTTGCTTTGGTGCCTGGCTTAACGCATTGCTAAATAGGAATGATGAGAAAATATATATAACCTATGTTGACCATCATTGAACTGTCCAACTGCTACTCACCATACAGATATAGCTGTTGACATGGGCTGTACCGACAGGAAAAGCCTGTTTCTCATTGATCTGCTTTAAGCAATATACACAGATCATCATCTTGTCTACAACTGACGGGTTCTGGACGTTTGCCTGCACAGCTGGCTGCTCTGGCGCTGTCTTAGCTGATTGTTTTGAATGATTGCTGGTAAGGTAGAGGTGTCTGAGTAAATAAGACATCGATCTAAGCTTTAAAGCGCTAGCCTACCTTCGTTTGCGTGCGCTGTTCCCAGATCCAGAGCCGCCGCCTGAGCTATTGTTGCAATTGCTAGCAGCCAACACACGCGCATTGCCCTTCACGGCCATTGTCGAAGTCCAACCCTCTGGAGGTGGACTGGCGCCCTTTGGAACCTTAGGCTTAGGCACACGTTTGCCAGACACGGGTGTAACCGCTGATTGAAGTTGATGGCTATTGCTGTTGGTTGTCGTCTGTTGCTTGGTTCCAGTTCCTGATTTACGACGCAACGGAGCAGGCTGTGCCTGACGCACGGTCTCGTATTGTTCACCGGCTTGCTGCATCTGCCGTTGAAAGCAGAAATGATCGATGGTCAACTCGCCCTTCAGCAGAGGAATTATATCTTCGCGAGAGCGTAGCTTCTTCCCTCCCGGCGATATAAATATGACGTCGCCTCGTTGACGCGACATGGATGCGTTACTGCGCAGCACCAGCTCACGTTTCCAGCCGTACTTAAACGGCAAGCAATAGTATTCATCAGTTGGAGGCAGTTTGACTGCAGCGCCCGAACGACGACGAGCCGGCGTCTTTGTTTCACTACTGGCTGGGACCTGTGCGATCGGGTCGCTCGTTTGATTACGCAAGGTGGCGGGACAGACGCTACGTGCACGTGTTGTACGTGGCGGCACATCCGGATTCGGATCGTGCAAAGACTTGGAGCGAGTGCGTAAGCTGCAGCCCAAATTCTGATTAGAAGGTTTGGTGCGTTTTGACTCATTTTCTTGTTTGTCAGGTGTGCCTCTCTTGGAGAGGACTCGTTTCCGCCCGCTTTTGTTTAGTAAAGAGCTAGAAGAGGCATTCGACTCCTCACCAGCAACCATGCCTGCAACGGGATCAACGTCAGCAGCTGCACCGAACGATCTTTTCTTTGGACGCTTGGGCTTCTGTGTGTAAAGGAAGAGACAGGTAGAAAGAAACAGAGTAAGCAAAGGAATACATTAGTTGGCCAGCATTGGCAGTTTCCGAGACTAAGCCTAAAATTCCACCTGCTTGGCTAGATCAGCTTGTGATTCTGTTTCTGATTCTGGCTCTGATGATGGTTCTGAACGTGGACAACGTGTAGCAAGTGACATTGACGCTGAATTGTTGTCGTTGTTGTTGACGTTGTTGTTGTTGGTTGTCTGCGTAGACTTTGGACTTGGGGTAGTCGAATTTGTAGTAATTGTGAAAGCTGCTGTTGTCGTTGTTGCAGGCGTTTTATGTTGGGAAACTGGTGAGAGGGAAGTAGAATCAGAAGACGACGATGATGACAGCGGCGGCCCCTGCTCCTTGTCCTCTCTGGGAAACACGCTCAGCCCAGTGGCACAGATTGCCTTTAGGTCAGTGGGCAGCTGCTGCATACAATATACAATATACATACATACAAACAAACATAGATACATGGGTAGATAGATAGATAGATATATTGATAGAAAGCAAGACAAAAAACGTCGAAGTCAAAATGAAATGAAAGAAAATTTCGGCACAGCACAAAACAAAACTGGAGCAGAAGCAGCACGAGCAACTGCAGCAACAGCGCTGCTTGTGACCGTATCTTCCTTGGACCACTATTGATCCGTACTTACCTGCTGGTCCACATCCGAATTACTTTCTAAGCTGTGCGTAGATGAGAGATTGGGAAAGGCACCGCTCCAACCCATCAAAGCTACCTCCTTCGAGCCGCGTCGCTGTTTGTTTCTCTTGGCTTTACGTTTTTTGGCCTTGCGAGCGCTTGCGCTCTCAGCATTAGCTATATTGCACGATTCAAGGATTATGAATGCTTAAGAAAAATTATATTTTGCTACCTACCACTCTGCTCGGTATCCAGCTGCACCGTCTGCTGTGAGATGTCAGATTCTATTTCAACTGAGTTTTGCGCTTCGATTTGACTGTTGTGCGGCTCATAGCCGTTGATTTCCTCAGTGGACTTTTCCATATCAGCCGAATGATTAGAGCTGTCGTTGCCGGGTACAGAATCATCGCTCGATGTTCTGCCGCTCGGTGATGCCCCCGAGCGCTTCATTAAACGAAAGTTATTGCTGCCTTCTTCCAAGCCGTCGTCTGGCGAGCTCATAGTGCGCCTGCCAAAATTTAAACGTTTCGTACATTAGATTTGATTAAATATATACTCCAGATTCATTGTTCATTAATGCAGAGGTAGTAGGCAATGTTTATCCAGAGTGCGCTGCAAACGCGTGTTGCATGTCTGTATAGCTACACGGCAGCAACACGAAGCGCAAGTTGCACACCAGCATGCAACCGCATGACATGAACCTAGTTTAAGACAAATTAGATGTGTTCAACTTTGTCAGATTGCCGACTATTAAGTATTTGAGTCGTATTTGTCAACTGAAGAGTTTTGTTTGCATAAGTAAAGCTCAAGCCATGTCAATGAATGAAAGAAAAAAATATATAAATAAAAAAAAAAAGAAATTAAATATCCAATTCTTGATATTAAAAATAAAATTAAAATAAAAAAATCATTAATTGCGCTTAAATGGCATTTGTTTTTCATTATAAAATAATTTTTGATCATCTCTAACCATACATGTGTCAAGTTTACATGTCATATCAATTTGAAAAGCGCCATACAAGCAATATGCTCTTACTGGGTATATGAGACTTATTCAAAAAAAAAAAAAAACGTTTAAGCTTTTACGATATATTTTATTAGTCGATATTTAACCGTATTATCAACTCAGCACAGTAAGCCCTTGTTTGTCATTTTTTGTTTTGTTTGATTCACAATAAGGTGTTCGCGCAGACAAATACATATACGCACAGGTGTCGGATGGTCCACACAGACACAAACCGAACGAGCGAGAGTTGAAATTACATTGAAAACAAAACCAGAACCAAACAGCAGCAAAAGCCATTGGAGATCTCTACAATCATAAACAGCATTGTACATACATACATACATATATACATACATATCATAGTATTCTGTTACAGACATATACATATGCATATACATTTGTGTGTATGTATATCGGTTATACGAAGATACACAAATTCTTGAATGCAACCAAGGTTAAGCTTAAACGTTTGTTTTTACCATTGCTGCATGCGTTTCTTGTAAAACGTCGTCAGATTTGACGAAGGGAAAGGGTTCGCGGTTCGTCTGGACAGGCGCGACACGAACATAAACTGCAGGTAAAGAAGACTAACAATGCGCAAGTGTATGTGTAACTATTTACGCACGTGTGCGAATGCAAAAACTAAAATGGCAACCAGCTTTTGCTCTCTCTCAAACAGAAGCAAATGAAATAGAAATGACAGTTTGAAATAAAGTTGGGCAACACATACTGTAAATTGCGAAATACAGGCGACACATAAACTTGAACTTCGTCAGTGTGAATCTCCAATCGTTTGTTTTTGTTTGGGTTAATCACGCACACACACAAACACGCAAACATATTTTTTATACATAAATTAACGTTCTTAATGCAAATACTGAATGCCCACAAAAACCGCACTTACATAAATGCTCTTTAATAAATATTATTTTTGAATGAAAATAATGTAATCGATAGCATGCAGATGCTAAAACCACAGCAAACTCCAACTTTTAAATTTGGCACGCACTTTTACATGTTTACATGTCTGTGAGTGAGTATATATGTGTGAGTTTGCTGCTGTTAAGTTTTGCGCCGGTGCCTATGCCGGCGTTTAAAACTGCATGACAACTTCCCACAATATACATTAAAAAAAAATTGCAAGTCAGCCATTGCGCACAGTCGCAGACTTTTAAATAATGTATGGTAAATGAGTAAATGAGTATGTGCGTTAGCTTATTTTTTCAACTTGTCTGTGGCAGCTCGCGAATTCGCGCGTGGTTATTGCATGCGTGCGAACACACAAACACACATATGTAGATTTATAATTGTGTGCGCGACTGACGCTAGCGTCTTTAGCACTTTGAAAAGAATGAGTACCGCATTTACGACAGTCGAACTTACGTTCTATGCGCTGATGGAAACCATCAACTTACCTGTTATGGGACACAAGAGTAAATCACTAGACACTGTCAAATAAAAAATTCAAGATTAATTGCAAAAAAAAAAACAACACGTTCGTCCTGCTGCGAATCACTAAAAATTGTGTCAAATTATAAACGATATATTACATGGAGCTATCGAATGTTTTACTCAAAATGGCCACCAAATCTGAACTATCGCAGACCTCACTGTTATGTTAGCCGGACAATGATATTACTCAGACTGTTAATCCAATGTTGCAGTCGATAACAGTCGATAATTTCGGGGATTGCAAACTTAACAAAACGCTACAACTACGATTAGGTTAACATTCTTCAAATTGTATGTTTTCAGTTTCGAATAATTTTATTTATTTTCACTTATGCTGTTTTATTATTATTGTCATTGTTTTCGGTACTATGTAAGTTGGAGACAAGAAATTCGGAATGCATTTGAGCAACCATCTTGAACTTTGATTAACTGTGTTTCGGGTACTTTTCAGCCGAATACCATTGAAATACCATTCGTTCTAATCGGTACCGATTGGCATCGAACTCTAAATGTTGTTGATTGTGCGATGTCACCGCAAATCGGTTTTCTCAACTTCGTGTGGATATTTTTAAATTTTTAAATTTGATTTTGGTTATTTTTAGATCAATTCACATTTCATACGTTCGCAGCTGCATACTGATTGTTAGTATTGCTCTGCATGCATTGCTATTATAACTTTACACAGCGAAATTCAGAGTTTTAGAAGCATTTGTACAAAGTCTGTGGAGGATATGAAAACTATTTCTTTTGTTCATTTTCTGTACACCCCTATTACATACCTAAAGATATGTATATAAAGAAGAGCTTCACAGTACTTTCTCCGCTGTGAATAAAAGCTAGATATACTTACACCATTTGCTTAGTATCCCACCGATCCGCTTTTGATCTTTCTGATTTCATTCTTCGTATTTTAATTACCAAACACATATTGAATAGGGTAACGACTGTAGTATATAATTTTCTCACAATGTGCATTGGAGCCTTGCTCTTTAAAATGGAAATATTGAAATAACTTGAAATACTTCGTAAATTAAATATTTTCCTTGCATTGTCCACTTTGCGCTTAAATTTGGGCATTTTTGATCTACAGTTAAAGTTATAGAAAACGATGGCATTTATTGTTTTAACTCTTAAGATAATCAGCATATTAATGTATATTTAATTTTATTTATTTATTTTTTATTTTCTTATATTCCCGCTACGGTACACGGTATTTAACATATTTTCAAAGGGCGTATCCATATTTATTAATGTCATCAGACGAGAGCTCAGCTATATATTTCAATAGCTGGTATATCGCATTGCCAATCTATTACTTAAATATTTAAAAACAAAACAAGATTTATAAGGAATGAAGAGACACCTCTCTAAAAAGTGGAGAGAAATGTTATCTTAGGAGCTTTACATTTTACATATTTTAAAACTTACATATGAAATCGTTATTAATAAATCCACGGAAAAGGATCGTAGACTATTTTTATTTGAATTAGACTTGATCTGCTTGTAATTCCGAAATCCTTACGTTCAAACATACGAACATGCAGACGGGCAGTTTGACAGACAGACAAAGAGATAGACGAAGCATCAGGAATTGATTCGGCTGATTGATGCGGATCAAAAATATATATATATATATATACTTTATGGCGTCAGCTACGTCTCCTTATTGCCTGACACATACATATGTATGTGTACTACATTTTCAATGGGTTCAGGGTATCTAAATTGGTGGCCATTAAACCCATAAATGATTCATGTCGCTATCTGTCTGGTCTAATATTTGCTGAATTTGCGAGTCAAAAACGTCCTCGCTACTCATTTGGTGTTTGGCGCTTGCACAGGTCGCAATAGAGGCCTTATCTCAATCAGCAGGGATTACGGATCTTAATCTGGTTTTGCGACCACGTTTGAGTAATTGAAATTTATTGGATTATTGACGACGCTTGAGTGGGTGTGAATCGTATTCCTACATTTCGACTGCTTGCTCACTTGTGTGACAAAAGAGGCGTGGCTAGTGAGCAAGAGTTGGGCGTTGGGCGTTGTGCGTTGGGCGTGGTCGGGCAGTTTTTTGGCATGGTGAATCGATTTTTTAGCAGCTGCAGACTCGAAGCACAGCCTCAGCCTCAGCCTCGACTTGAATCTCAGTCTCAGTCTTAGCTTATGGTGGCAGGGTCACGTGTGGTCGTGTGGCTGTTGTTTGTTGACTTTAGTGTCTTATCGGCCAGACACACGTGCCACAGCAGCCCCTTCCATCGACACACACACAGACGCACGCAACTGCAGTCAAATGATAACAAAATTAGCCACCAAACTGCTGCTAATTTGATTTTGATGCTGTTGACTGTTAGGTGTTGGGTGTTGGTTGTTGCCTGCTGACGGTTGACTCCTTGGGGCGTCTCTCATTTGATTGCCTCAAATCCGCTTAGCGGGTGCCAGTTAGGGTTGTTGGCAGTTGCATTTATATTGTTGGCTGTAGATTGTTGCTGTGCCTCGCCCTCTGTGAGTTGGATTAGGCACGGGTTCTCATGGCCAAGTGGCTAACTGAGTGGCCTAATCCCAAACTGATGAACATCCTGCAGTCAGTTGAATTGATATCACTGAGCGATATGCCCATGAATATGTAATGAGATTATCAAATTGATGATGAAAGTCAACTATATTCGACTTAGAGCTACCGCGTGCCCAGACTCCGTTAGAGTATTTGAAGTTGTTTCTTCTTCGATTACAGCCTTGTAGTTGTATCCGTATTGACAGCAGAAATAGTATTAGTAACAGTATTACTACTACTACTAGAATGTAATAGTAGTAATAGCAAATGTATTAAGAGTCTTGGTAACAGTAGTAGAAATAGAAATATCAGTAACAGAATTGGTAATAGAAATAGTAATAGTAGCTTAGGCAGTAGCAATAACATTAGTAACAGAAATAATATTAGTAGTTGTAGAAATGTAAAAGAGAAATAGAAGTAGTAGTTATAGAAGGAGTAGTAGAATTGGTAGTAGACGAGTAGAGGCCCCATTTGTTGATTTTTAACCAAGTAAAGAAAATTGCTGAATTCTTCAGCTGTCAATGATCGTTTTCATAGAAACTGACAAAAATTAACCGGCGTTGCTCGGGTCAATTTAAGCAATTTAAAAGTGGCCTCCGAATTGTTGCAGTGATTTCTGCATAGCCTATGCAACGACGACTTTGCTGAGGCAGCATACCTTAGGGTATGTCTCAGCTCCTGCAATTATAACCAACGTTCAAGGCTTCGGCTACTTTCAGGCTCCCTGCATATGACACATTACATAATTCATAAAGAAAAACTTAAATTGTGATTGAGTTAACCTATTTCCGTTCTTATTCATCAGAATTCATCTACTTGGACATCGAGTTTCTATTCAGTTGTCACCCAACTACACAATCCTAATATACTTTTTATAGAAATAGCTAAAATAATATATATGTATATATACTAATCTGACTAATCTGACGCCACGCCTCCTTCGCTCTGTTTCACACATTTTCACACTGAAAATGTGGAGTCAGGATATAAATTTAAAGTTAGAGAAGTTCATGCTGCCGGACTCAATGCGTTTATATTGTTTAGGTCATTGGGAATCGCACAACAGAATTACTGTGCTTGCATGACGTAAAGTGTGTTATGGACAAGAAGATGGAGTTAAGATCGATGTAGTTTTAACTGAGGTCTTTAGTCTGTAATCTTTAATAGTTAATCTTCAATCAATTTATTCCATTGCATAATTAACACAGAATTTAATTTATTAAGATACAGAACCATTTATTAGAAAGTGCTAAGACCTTTACAGAGTTCTCTGCTGCTTCTTCAGTTTTCTCGATCGTCGCCTGACCACCAGGCGACCTTGGAGATGCTTACGAAATATTTCGAAGACCAACCCGGCGTAGAAGAACATAAAGGACATCGAGAGGGACACGATGAAGGCGTGCAAGTACAGCCCACCGATGCTCTCATAGCTCATGGTCAGCTTGCGAATTTCGTAAATCATAATAGCATACGATATGGAGAACACGAACATGCAGACATAGAACTTGCGATACCATCCTATAAGCCTTATCCACGAACTGAACAGGAATCCGACAATAGATGAGAACATCTTGGCGAAGAGTGTGGCCAGCATCTGCTTACAGTCAGCGATAGTCAAGCCCATTTTGAATAGAATTTCTTTTTCAGATTTTAGCTTTGACGAAGACCAGATGTGAGACTTTTTTTTCCAGGTTTCTATTACCTGGCCAACTGAGAGCTGTTGCTTGAATCTGATTTGCAAGCAAGCACTTTCCAGCTAAGCGTCCAAGATTTCCCATTACTGTCCACAGAAGTTGTGGCTAAGGCCTTAGCTAGATACGATAAGCTTGAGATCGTTCCCACAACGATCAAAGGTGGAAAGGGACAAACTCTACATTGATTGCATTCCCGGTATGATCTGTGTAGTGGGCTAAGACTACGAGTATATAGACTCAGTCAAGCCCAAGTATCACAAATACTATGCACAAAGCTCACTTCATCTCTTGTATGAATCCTTCTCTTGCATCGGTCGCACTCAAGTATTCAACTACCGAAATCGAAAGGTGTGTGGATAAGGCACCTGATTTAGGTAAGTCTTGCATTCGTAAAGTTCGGGTATTCCAAAAGAATATTTTAATGAAAGGCACTAGAACATTTTACAAAAATAACACTGAACTTATGTTTTCATTTCCAAATTGTGTTTTACCGCAGCTAAAAAAACATATTTCAGAGCACTTTTTTGTCTGATTTAAAGCATATATTCCATACACATATATATATATATATATTTATATATATATATATATATATATATATACATATGTATATATGTGAAATGTCTCTTGTATCGGAGCTCTTTCAATTGAAAACGTCTGTCTATCGCGATTAGGAATTTGCAATTAAAACTCACTTTACTGTCAGCATTCCAGATCCCACATCCCGCATCCCATAGCTAGCTGGGCTGGGTGTAGATTTATCTGAATATTGTGAATGGTTTGGTTGGGCTCGTTAGCTGAGATGACTGGAGAATAGGGGTTGGCTCGTTAGCTCCGCCCATTTCTGATTCAGCGCCTGCGTCTAAACAGCGCCTCACTCTCTCTCTCTCTCTCTCTCTCTTTCTCTCGCTCTCTCTTTTTTTGCTATATCTTTACCTCGCTCGCATCTGGGGTTGCAAATGCTGCATACGTTCCGCATGGAAGTTGAGGAAGGCCTACAGGAGGGGCACTTGAGTGGATAATGGTTCAATGCCAGGGCGTGAACATATTCGCGGATGCAATTGGAAAAGTTTGAACCGTTGAAATTTTCACGCTCGACCCTTTAAACTTTTCCAGCGATTTAATCCGTGGCCTAAGTGAAAAATGGAAACCCGTTGCATAGATAATGAGCGAATTGACAATTAGCAAAGTCGAGCAATTCATTAATTAATCTATTGGCAAGCCGAATATTGAATACCTTTACTAAAGCTAAGGCGTTCGACTAAGCTGGTATGATTTTGTAGATCCGTTGGGGTCGCCTTCGAAGAGGATGTACAATAAATGTATACGATTTGTGATCCCACTTGACCCATACTGATAGAGTAATTGGCATTATTCTATTCTCTATTCTCTATTCTCTATTCTCTGTCGTTTCTATAGGCCGACTGCACATAACTCTAGAAGGTTTTCGAGCTATTAGAAACTCGTTTATCCATGGTTCCAGTCAAGTATAGTGTACAAGGAGAACTTTCAATCTTTTCCAGTAGGCCGGACTGAAATTATACAATTTTCTGGCAAGCTAAGTAAGCTAAAAAGTTATATAAAAAGAATAATCCATGCGGCACATTTAGCAAAATTCCATAGTTTAAAATAACAGAGTTAATTCGTGTCGACCTTGATTATAAGTATCTACAGCGAAGCAATTAAGCTCTATTGCTGAGATGAGCTTTACAAATCTGCATTCCTATCCGGTGGATGGCTATCAGCGTGTCAGCTACTGCCGGGCAGAATCTATGAGGCGTATCACCGACGATGGCGACAATGCGGCCGGCGATGGCATTGTCATCTGTAAGAATGTGATATTGGGATGCAAGCCCGAAACGGCCGATGACTTTAGGCCGTTCGTCTTCGAGCCCACGTGGTGTGTGTACATCAGGGCGGAGGACACCGTCGATATGGGACGCTACGTGAAGCGTGTGACATTTCGTATGTCACCTCGTTTGCCGCTGCGTCTGCACGTGGCGGATAGCTCGCCCTTCGAGATCACCGAAGTGCTGAGCACAGATTTTCCGTTGGAGCTGCAAGTGGACTATGTGGACCCCACCATGTCGCCCACAACATATTTGTACAAGCCGAACGATGCATTCGATGGCAAATACAACGTGGATCTGCGCATGACTTTCCAGGGTCACGAGCGTCGGGACAAAATGTTCTTTATGAATCCATCGCAAGCTACGCAGCTGACCCTAACAACTCCGGGGCCGCTGCTAACAACGCCCGCTAAAGCAAAACTGTACTCAGCTCTGTCACGGGACACAGAGAAGGTAACCAAGAAGCAAAAACTAATCAAGTTGGCCACATCCAGGACGGAGGAGACGTCAGACGTTGTGAGCCCGTTTATGTCGCCCTCGGCTCCCAGGCCCATATTCAATGTACGCCAAACCCCAGACAAGCCTTAGATTCGTATTCCACTCACACTCGCCACCCACTCACAAAGCTTTGGCCCACTCCTTTTATGTGTATGTCTTGGCCAAGGGTTGCAGCCACTCGCTAGCGCCGCCCCTCAACGGCTGCTGTCGACGGGGTGGGTTCTGTCTTCTTCTACGCTTGCTACGGTTGCTGCTGCTGTTGCTGTTGCTGTTGCTGATGTTGCTCATCATTTCGCAGTGGCACTTTGTGGCGTTCGGTCATGGCCTGGCTTCCGAGCAGCTCGAATGGCGCAGATAATGCGGACGAGCGCAGCACAACCAGCCACTCCAGCTCCTCGTCCTCAGTGAACGGCAGGCGAGAGGAGAGCAACAGCAATGGTAATGGCACGACTCGACAGCCGCCGGCGCTGTTGCGTCATGCCACGCCCTATGTGCAGCCCAAAACGGAGTCCATCTCGGATGGAGATGGCGATCTATCGGACTTCTCGCTCAACGACACCGAGGAGGACGACGAGGATCTGCGCGACTACATTGTGCTCAACGGCAGCCAGGCGGATGGTAAGTAAAGGAATGGCCAAGGCGCCACCAATGAACCAAGCTCTCAATATTCTGTTTACCCAGCAGCAAATCGCTCCTTGTCCAACTCGCCTCGCAGCGGCAACAATGTCTTTGGCAACGGGCAGCTGGCACCGCCGTCCAATGGCGTTAACTGTAGCGCAAGCGGAGCAGCTGGCGCAGGCGCCGGCGGAGGCGCTGGCCTGGGACTTGGCAGTGGCCAGCTGTCCGGCGGTATTGGCACGGGCGGTGTGCGAAAGGTGTTTACCAATACGCGAGAGCGTTGGCGCCAGCAGAATGTGTCGGGCGCGTTCGCCGAGCTGCGCAAACTAGTGCCCACCCATCCGCCGGACAAGAAGCTGTCGAAGAACGAGATTCTGCGCTCAGCCATCAAGTATATCAAGCTGCTGACCGGCATACTCGAGTGGCAGCAGTTGCAGGCACCGCATCCGGAGGAGCCCAACAACAACGATAATCGCATGGTCAATGGCCATGCGCCCGACGCACTGCGCCATATCAAGTGTGAACGCTTCGACAAGGACGCACCGCAACGGGCAAGCACGAATGATCTTCTCATGATTGCGCCGGGCGCCCAAATTAAAACTGAGCACAGCCAACTAACCAGCTACGAGGAGCCCCACAGAATTGGCGGCACAAGTGCTACCACGGCAACACTGACCATGCCGGCAGCTACACCAGTAGCGCCGTCGCCGGCCGTGATTGTGTCAGCTAGTGCAGGTGCGTCTGCCTCTGTGGCGGGCACTCTCAAGCCTGCCACAGCCAGCAGAGCAAGCAACAAGCGACGCCTCAAGCCAGCAACAGAGCCTCCAAGCACCGACCTAAGTCACAGCTCGAACCCCAACCCGAATCAGAGTTCGAATCAGACCCAAAGCCAGAGCCAGAACCTAAGTAAGCGCCGCAAACCCTAACCTGTGGATGGCAATGCGAACATCACAATATGGAATTGGGTAGACTTTTAAAATTATCTTATGTAAATTAGTTGAATATATATTTGAATTCCAAATTAGTAACTAAACAACCGAAAATGCCTTCTGCTTCTGTTCTGCACAGCATCTCTTACGATATTCAAGTTACGGCTGCACCTCCACATGCTGTCTTACAATATGCTAGCTATTGCTGTCTCTTCACATCGTCTCATACGTTATTCAAATTATATCAATAGCTTAACAGTGTGTTTTACGGTATTCCAATTAACATACAGCTATGCCTTAACATGGTGTCTTACGATATTCAAATTGCAGCTGCAGCTGTACCTTTACATGCTGCGCCAATTACATGGTCACATTAAAGTTTTACAGGGTCCCTCACGGTAATATTTTGCTTTGCTCTTATATAGTATCCTACCTTATTTATAACTATAGCTATGCATTTATAGGGTGCAGTGGTATTTGGGCTTTGTCCGAAGAGACGATCTCTTACGATATTCAAGTTATAGCCGAGTCCCCACAACGTCTCCCACGACATTCGCCGCATTTCTTATGATATTCCGAGTACATCGTGCCTTACGAAATCCAAAATATATGTCCGACTAGAAGATACCCTATTATCGCTACGTACTGAAGACTAAAGTCGCTGAGATCATCACTTTGCATCGATTTCTTTTACACAAAGTCTTCTGCTAAGTACCGGTAGGCCAAGCGACCTTTACAAAAGGGCGGCAGCATATAATAGTACAATAGGATCTCAACTCTATTGTGTTCTTATTTGCTAATGCAGTGGAACTGCTTTAATTTGGTTCCTTTGCATGATAGCTTATGGTTCTCCTATTATATTATTATGTTCATAAATATACAGGTGCAAAGTATACATATGTATATTGAAAAAGTTCGCAGATCCACGCTTAGACTAAACCATATAGTGAGCCTTTCTATTAAACTTGATAAATCATAGTAAGATACTTACCGAGATAAATTGATATAGATGGTGAGCTAAAAATTAAGATATATATATACTGATCAGGATAGCGCAGCCCTCAAGTTCTTTGGTAATGCTCAGTATTATTGAAATTCGTCGATTCTTTTTTCTAAAATGTTTCCATATTGGAGTTTCATCGATTCTTCTGTAAAAAATATTAAATTTGGTATCGAACTGCAAAGTTCTTTAATATATTTTGGGTTGCGCGGCTAGGAGATACCCCGAGCCCTGTCCGGTATGTGTTTTTAAATATTTTTCAACAGTTTGAATCAAACTTGATATGCGCGTGCTGTATACAGACCTCAAAATTTCAATACTGAAATGGAAGCGTTCACACATACGGACAGACGGACAGGGCTAAGTCGACTCGGCTTGTCGTCCTGATCAAGTATATATAAATTAGTATCCTTCCAGTCCTGTAGTGGCTGAAGATTAGGTTGAGAGGCGACTGTGCCTCTAATTGCTGGCCTCGGGCTCAGACAATGAACAAGTGCCGGAGTGAATATTTATTTAAGCGACTTACTGGAAGAGCACTGTATTCAAAACTAAACTCTAATTACACAGAATATTTCACTTAAGCTAAGCCAAAACTCGCATCACGCCACAATGTCATGGTCGGCAAGCCGACTCAGCGAAAATCTTAGGCAATAACGGGAACTCTTGCAGCAAAACAAAAGTGTGCTGATACAAAGTATGCAGTGTCACGAGGGCGAGGGCTGTTCCTTAACTTATGGAGCGAGGGTTGATTAATATCTTATATTAAGTGTTATGTGTTAACTACTCCCCCCTCAAGTATAAGGCCGTCCTCGGCCGACGACTTCTCGTAACTGCCTCGCAGACTTCTTTGCGTCGATGATCCGCCAAAGAGAGAGGCCAATGCAGATTAAAGCACAGCATATGGCTCCGACGATGAATGCCACACGATAGGCTTGATCAGTTCGGGCGTCTTTCTTGAATTGCTGTATCACCTCCAAATTAAGTTCATTCAAACGATGAGGGTAAGGGAGGCTGAGGACATCTTGACAGGCAGTGATGTTCAGCAAGGGAGAATTGGCAATACCCGGGACTCTATTGCGTACGTTGTGATTGTAAAACAGAATCCCGTTAATTGCGACTCGGTCTCCTAACGTGACGAGATGCGTGCCTTGTACCTGAATCTCAGTGCCGTTGTCCACCTGAATCCTTGCGGACCCGTCGTTGAGGATGATGATTCCGTCATCTACATGGGTGATTATTTCCAGGTTGCTCGGATGGATCTCGCAGTGTGCCGTGCCATGAACTCTCTAATGACAGACGACAAAATGTGGCTCCAGGTGAAGCGGCGCAACTCTGCAGTGAGTGGGTTTCTCCATCGCATTCGGCTATGACGTTGTCAAACAATCGCAATATGAAGTTCTTGTGGACGACAGGATAAATCGTAATTTTTCTGCAAGCTTTTTTAATCTTTGGGAATTTGATTATAAAATGTATAGTGTTAATGGATTGGAGAACTTTTACGGACGCAACGGACATAAGATCTCCTATTTGATCTCCTAATTGATTTCAAATCTGAGTGGTCCAAAATGTTTGGGCTAACAATGTTAGCCTTCGCGAGAGTAATGGCAAGCATTACATTTTGCAACTCCATCTTTAGCATTCTGTTTCTAGACAGTAGTGTTTCAAATAAATGGCCAGTGTCAACTTGTTAGTTTTTGGCTATCTTGAGAATTTTATTGACAGTGATTGTTAACTGGTTAAGCTGGTCTTGAACTCTAGTGTTTATTTCTATTTGTCTATTGTTGGCATTTATTAGTTGCATTTCAGTGAACCTAGTCTGCTCTAAATCACCGGCATCGGATGTACCCGCCACCATCTTCAGTATGGATCCTAGGAAACCTAAACTTCTGGCGACTCTATGGTGTGTGCCTAATGCCTCCAAGAGGTCTTGTAGATGTGCCGTGTCCACACTTAGAAGTTTTTTTTGAAAATGCTAAAGACGAGACAAAAGGCCTTTGCAGACCCAGACGAGGCGTTGTCGTATAACACATCAGTCGTGGCTGCCATTAGGACCACAGATGAGCAACCGATCTATGCCAAGCTTTACCCATATCCAATGGGAGCAGCTGATTTCGTTAATAAAGAAATCAAAGATCTGCTAAAAAATGATATAATTCAAAAGTCCGTCTCTCCCTACAATAACCCAATATGGGTAGAAAACAAGATGAAGCGGGCAATAGGAAAATGAGGTTGGTAATGGACTTTTGTAAACTTACCGAAAGAACCGAGCCTGACAATTACCCTATGCCAAATATATCAATGATATTGGGGAATTTGGGGAGAGCCAAATTCTTTTCAACATTATCAAGTCTGGTTATCACCAGATCATGCTCGCTGAACGCGACCGTGAAAAACCCTTTTTCTCTGTGAACGGGGGGAAATACGAGTTCAAAAGACTCCCCTTTGGTTTACAGAATGCAGCAAGCATCTTTCAAAGAACAGATTGGCAAATTTTGCTATGTCGATGATGTAATCATCTTTTCAGAAGGAGGAATGAGGAATCCCACATTAAACACGTGGATTGGCTTCTAAAATGCTTACACGAAGCAAACATGAGGGTCTCCGTCGAAAAGTCACGTCAAGTTATTACAGATATTTCATTAGGGACTTCGCCGCAATAGCAAGACCCATCTCGAATATCTTGAAGGGTGAAAATGGAACAGTCAGTAAGCATAGGTCCAGAAATATAAAGGTTCATATTTTGTCATCCGAAAATGTAATGCTCAGGTACCCCGATTTTAAGAAGCCATTCGATTTAACGACCGATGCTTCAGCTCACGGCATAGGTGCAGTTTTGTCTCAAGAGGGTCGTCATATAACAATGATTTCAAGAACATTGAAGGACAGCGCGGTTAACTATGCAGCAAATGAGATAGAGTTATTGGCCATCGTAGTGACCACACTTCCCAAATTAAGGCACTGTTTCTATGGGGTGAAAGACACTAATATCTTCACTGACCATCAACCCTTGTTGACCTTCACAGTTTCGGAATCTAATCCAAATGCAAAAATCAAAAGGTGGAAAGCGCGCATTGACGAGTCTAATGCACATATCTTCTATAAGCCTGGCAAAGACAATCTGGTTGCGGATGCCTTGTCAAGACAGCAGCTCAACGCTGTAAATGAACAAGAAATTGAGTCATGCGCAGCAACGATCCACAGTGAGGTATCTCGCACCAACACCATTGGGACTACCGATAAACCCTTGAATTGTTTTCAAAATCAAATAGTGCTAGAAGAGGCGCGTTCGCCCTTAAAACGAATTTTTATTCTTTTTGGAAATAAGAAACGCTACTTGATCAGCTATACTTGCGTCGAATCGCTGCTAGACTCGAAGAGCTCGAAGATGTAGTCTCACCCAAGTGCATAAATGCTCTCCACTGTAATTTACACACGCTTGCAATGATGCAAGATGCATTGGTTCGAAGATACCCGGCCACAAAGTTCCGGCACTGCAAAAAATCGCATAGTGGACGTATTTACGGTTGGAGAAAGAAGGGAAATCCTCACAGACGAGCATAATAGGGCCCATAGGTCTGCACAGGAAAATATTAAGCAGGTACTCTCGGAGTACTAGTTTCCAAAGATGGCAAAAATAGCGAATGAAATATTACAAAATTGCAAAACATGTGCTAGGGCTAAATATGATAGACACCCCCTCACATGTAGGAGAGATGTTACACATAGACATTTTCTCCACTGACAGGAAATACTTTCTCACTTGCATCGACAAGTTCTCTAAGTTTGCTATTGTCCAACCGGTCCCTTCAAGAACCATTGTGTATCTGAAGCCAGCCAAAAGCCAAATACATTTACTGTGACAATGCTCACAAACAACTATGGGGTCAGCATCTCAAATGCACCACCATTGCATAGCATCTCGAATGGACAGGTTGAGCGCTTTCACAGCACTCTGTTGGAGCTAGCCAGATGCCTAAGGATCGATAAAGGTATAAGTGACACCGTAGAAGTCATTTTGTTGGCAAAAACTGAGTACAACAAGTCGATCCATTCGGTCATCGACCAGAGACCAGTTGATGTGGTTCAGGCGCACCCAGATGAGCGACAAGAAAAGATACAAGAAAAGATCAAAAACTCTCAGACGACGCTCAGAGCTAGGGAGAACGCAAATCGGCAGAATAGGGTCTTCGACGTTGGTGACAAGATTTTGGTCAAGTCCAACCGACAGCTCGGAAACAAACTCACACCTTTATGTGATGAGAGGGTCGTGGAAGCAGACCTGGGGACCAAGGGAGTAAAATACTCTCTTGTACTAACTAATTTTTTATAAAATAAACTTAAGACTTTTTGTGTTTGTAGAAAAATTTTTGCTAGAGTATCCACTTACATGATTCAACTAACACAAAAAAAATTCTCTTTATAAAATCGGTCACTTGCAGCTCCCGCGATGCTGTCTTAATTGTTGTTGGTTGTTGCAGCTCCTGTGCTGCTGTTTTATTTGTTGTTGATTAATATCTTATATTAAGTGTTATGTGTTAACTTAAATATACTTTATGAGGTCTGCCACGCCTCCTTATGCCTGTTACATACGCTTTCACAAGACCACTATACCCTGAATTCCCATTTTCAATGAGTTCAGGGTGTAAAGATGTAGTAGATACATTGAGGGAGTGGCAAATCGGAAAACAAATCTTCCGAGGTCTTGGAGCTGGCAACGCTTTGACCGTGAATGAGTGTTATGTAGTCGGATTGCAACGTTCTTCCTTGTTGCATCATTCTATTGCTTCCCGGACTCCGAACTCTCTTCCAGGTATAAACGTTTTGATGAACTTTAGGACAGGTGCAATGTTTTGAAAATGAATCCAGTACTATAGCAACTAGACAATGTTAATTGGGGGAGTATCGTATCGGTTTAAGATACTCTGTTGCCCAGCCTAGTGTATATACAAATACACATACATATATACGTGTTCTTTAGAGTAAAGTCAACAAACCTCAGCACACCCAGTTGTTTCCAGAATAAAAGCCATTCTTATAATCATTTAGTTTTGTAATTTTTATTGTTTTTTATTTTTTAATTAATGTTCTTTTTGTGTTTTTATGTTGTTGTTTGGTTTTGTTTTTTTTTTGTGGGTTTTCTGTTTTTATTTTTTGCATTTAGTTTTAGGTTGTGTTTAAATGTAAATTTTCATTTTGGTAAGCGAAACGCTGAAATTGTTGTTCATATATAATTTCATAGCTTATCATAATTAATTTTTTTTTATTTTTAGTACTTTTTCGTTTTTATTTTTCATTTTTCATTTTTCATTTTGGTTTATTTGAATTTTGGGGAAGGGTTTATTACTTAGTTTTTTTTTTAATTTTGAAAGCTTGTTTTATAATCAAAAATTAAACTGAGTTGCTTGTTCCATATTGTTAGTGTGTATGTTTAATTTTTTTTGTTTTGTTTTTGTGTTGTGTATATTTTTTACCAAAAGAATTTTCCATATTTTTGCTTAGTTCAATTGCTCAAAAACAATTTCCATCTTCTGTTCGAGTTATTCTTCTCGCAAGTGTTAAGAAAAAACAAAAAAAAAGAATTTGTGTTAGGAAACTAATGGAATTGAGGAATACATACATATAATACATACAAATATAATTAGTTTAGTTTGCACAAGCAAAGAGAAAACATTTGCTAAATGTTCGCGTTTGCGCAACAGCTTGGAGTCTAGGGAAAAGAAACAGCATGGGAATATGTCGTACTCTATGTATGTATGTATGTGTATATATAAACGTATATATATATATATATAAGTGTATATATATAGGCATTCTCTGGGGACTGTACGTGCTAGTTATATAGTAATTGCAATTGCTTTGATCGTTCCAATTATGGTCCAAGGCGCGCTTTCCTTGAGCTGTACGAGAGTTACGTGAGTTTCTGGAATCTTGCGAACATGCCACGTATCGCTAATTTCTCCTGATCTTCTTCCTCTTCATCTCCTTCTCTTACTTTTGTTATTGTTCTTGTGTTTTGGGGTGATTAATTAATTAAAATTAATTTATATATATATTCAATTGCAGCTAAATGTTGATTAATTTTACAATTTTTGCATTATGCATCATTGTTTTCCTTCTTCTTCTTTTCATTCGAGATTCGGTTCTTGTTTCATTTTTTTTATAGTTTTTTTCTTTTTTGTTAATTAATTTTCATTTAGTTTAATGGGTGGCGTCGCTCGCTAAAAGCGTTTTTATGATATTTTTCCTTTTTTTTAATAATTATTTTCACTATAATAAAAAACATATACATATATATAAATAAATATATATAGTATTGTAATATATATATATATATATATATATATATATATATATATATATATATATATATATATATATATATATATATATATATATATATATATATATATATATATATATGTTTTTGTTTTGTTTTGTTGTTGTTTGTTTGTTTAAATCAACTATTAGGCTATGCTTGTTTTTTTTTGTAGATGTTCTTGATTTAATCATTAGAATCGTATTAAAATGCTAAAGTTGGACTGAAGAACGGTACTAAATAGTAATATAAGGGGCTTGGGGTTAATGGGATATCGGAGCTCGGCCTGGGGATCGTTTTACAATTATAGTTGTATATACATATATATATATATATATATATATATATATATATATATATATATATATATATATATATATATCTGTATATATATATATATCTTCTATATTGGGATTTATAGTCAAATGTTTTGGAATTTATCTTTTAAACATTTTGCAGATTCTCCAATCGGATTTAGATTGTTGCTGCTGCTGCTGCTTAAGTACAACAACAATAACAAGCAAATTAACATTTATTTTGTTATTTTTTGTTATTTCTTCTGCTGTTGGTTAATCTATAAATATCGTTTACATTTTTTTTAATGGGACAAAAAATTTTGATTTATTTCACTAAGTTTTCTTATTTGGTTTTTGCTTATCATTTAATACGTTCGCAAATTGTTTTTTTTTTGTGTTTTTCTTTTTTATTATTTACTATAATGCATAAAGTTTATGTAACACTATGTTGTTTCGTGTGTCTGTTCAATTTATGATTATATATATATATATATATATATATATATATATATATATATAATGTGTATATATATACACATATATATATATATATATATATATACATGTGTATATATATACACATTACTTTATTTAACATAACATTATATTTGTTGTGTTTTTTTTTAATAATACATATTTATTATTTATATGTTTAGTTAGGCATTTGCTTTGTGTTTTCCTTCATTTTTGTGGGGGTTTTTGTTTTTAGTTAAATATTATACTACGTTTTCTTGCCTTGCGCCCAATGTACAAGCATTCATACACGCACACAACATACATACATACATACATACATACATACATGCAAGCGAGCGCACACACGCACTCACACACGCATCGCATACATATGTGCTTGTGATTCAGCAGATAGGAGCAAAGAAAAGCTCTTGGAATAAGGAAAGCGTGCGTTAAATCACAAGAACATGCATGCATACATGCATACATGCATGCATGCACACATGCAAACATGCATGCATACATACATATGCGCATGTGTACAAACTGCAAGCATGCAAGTGTGTCTGTGCGCGTGATAGATAGATATATATATATGTATGTATATATATTATGTTTAATCCTTTGCATGTGGGTGAAATTGTTGATATTTGCAGAATTAATATGTATGTTTGTATGAATGTCTGTGTGTGTATGTGTATCTGTATGTATGCATGCATGTGTGTGTATGTGTATATGTATGTATGTATGTATGTATGTATGCATGTTTGTGTGTGGGTGATGTTGTAAATTGAATGTTGTTAAATTTACTTAAACCCCCATTTGCATAAGAGGCTAGCGAACAAAAAAGTTAATAACAGTTCACTGTAAACAACATTTATATTAACAGAGCGCCACCGCCGCCGCTGCTGCTGTTGCTGCTGCGTTAACCCGATGTGCCGGCTGACGCTGCCGACGCCTGATCAGGCTCTACTGCTGCGTCGTTTCCGCCGTTGCCGCTGCCATTGCTGCTACCGCTACCACCACCACCTTCGTCGCCTGCAGCGCTAACCTCAGCGTCGCCGTTGCCGCTGGCGCTGCTGTTCAAGGCGCTGTTTGACTGCGAACCTGCGAAATTTGTTGGCAAAAAATAACAAAGTAGACAAAACATTTTGCTGTAAATTGCTGTTGCTGTTGTAGTAGTTGTTGCTGCCGCTGTTATTAACAGTTGCCAATTAACAGAATAAACTCTATGGAACGGGAAATACTTATATGACAACAATGTTATGTGACAGAGTGAAAGAGAAGAAGGAGAAAGAGAAAATGAAAGAGAATGGAGAGCGAGCAAATACATATGTTCACAAGCATGCAAAATTGAGCGTCTGCGCGGCATGGAACCAGATACAAAATGGCGCCAATCAACCGACTGACTGAACGATCGCCCACCCAACCACACACACCCACTAGCAACAACAAGAACGAATAATATGTACAAATAAAATTAAGAAAAATAAGGTGAATTCGTTTATATGGTTTTTTCTTCGTTTTTTTTTTTGTAATTTTTATTATTTTTTATTTTTGTTTTTGTTTTTTTTCTGTTTCAGCATTTTTGTAATTTTGCTCAGTGTTCTTCCATGTTCTTTTATCATTATCATTATCATCATCATCATCATCATTATCATTATCATCATTTCATTTATCTTTCTCAACAACTTTCTTTTCTTTTTGTCTATGAATTTAACCACGAATATTGTTGGCTTTACATTTTTAATACATATGTATACATAACGCTGTATGTGTGCATGTGTGTGTGTCTAAGTATGTATAGTAGTTGTTGTTATGTTATTCAAATTAATGTTAAAATTGTATTATTTCTTAATGTTGTTGCAGCTCTTCTCGTGTTTGTGTGTGTGTGTGCCTAAAGTACTAGGAAATTTAACTCGTGTGTTCGATTTTTAAATTGTATATGTATGCATGTGTGTTTGTATTTAATTATAATAATTAGTTTAAATTAGCTTTTCATAAACTATTTAAATAAATATACGTTTGATTTTTACAATATTTCGCACTTGTATTTGTCAATTGTTGTCAGGGTAAAGAAACATGTTGCTATTTGAAATTAGTTAAGCTGGTTATCGTTATCGTTATCGGTATCATTGTATATCGGAAACGCAATTTGCTTTCCATTCTCTTTTTGCCAGCTACTTCTGCATGATGTTTTCACCAATTGTGATCCTATATTTGAACTCAAATTTCGAATATATATCCTTATATATACATATATAGTTATAGGTATAGATACTACATATGTATATAGCTATGTATATAGCTGTAATATTTTCATGTATTTTTATCTACATATTGCAACTAAACCAGCGATACGAGTATAGTCATTTATAGTTGTTTATGTATGTATGCAACAATATATATATATATATATATATATATATATATATATATATATATATATATATATATATATATATATATATATATATATATATATATATATATATATATATATATATATATATATATATATATTACATGTACATATATATATATATATTACATTACATATATGTATATATATATATATGTGTATATATACTTGTGTATGTATGTGTGTGTGTCTATAAATATTGGTTTATAAAGCATATACAAACACATCTTCACCCGAGTTGGGCAAAAGTCTACATTCGAGAGCCCAATTCTAAAATCCGATAATCTGGATTTGAATATATCAAGTGTTTAATATAAAATTTTTCGAAACTTTACTTTTTCACTTGTGCTTGATCTGAAATCGATATATTTCTGATCTTATATTTAACACCAAATTTAGATTTCTCTCTGAACTCTCCTAGTACTTGGCCTAGACTTGTGCCCGCCTCGCCAAAAGTATATTCTTCTAACTGTTCTCATCCGATAAGATATATATATATAGATATATATATATATAAATTTAGATTAAAAAATTAGGTTTTTACATAAAATTGTTATTTATGCTGTTTTCTGTCTGTGTAATATTTTTTGTTTTTTTTTTTATTATTATTATTTTTTAAGTAATTTTCTAGGTTTAATATACGTACATTTATTGTTAAATAAATTTGCATATGTGATTCATATATCTATATATATATATATATATATATTTATATTGATTTAAATCATTTTTGTTTTCTTTTATTTTTGTTTCACTCAATGCTCGCTGCTTGCTTGTTTTATTTATTACAAAATAATAATTATTAAATTATAAAAAAAAATAATTTATTTATTTAATATATATATATATATATATATATATATATATATATTAATGCGTTTTACAAAAAAGATTACAATTAATTAATTAATTAATTAGTTAGATATTTAGATATATATATATATATATATATATATATATATATATATATATATATATATATATATACTTTAATTAATCGTAAAATTAGCATAATATAAACATATTGTTAATGATTTTTATGCAGCCAAATCCTATTTTGCATATTTTGTTTGATTGTTTAATTCGTCATTTTTCAAATTATGCAACATTAATATTTATATTGTGCAGTTAAAAATGTTCTTTGTTTTCTTTTAATATTATTTTTACTACACATTTCAATATTACCAGACTAAAAAAATAAGATAATTAAAACAAAAAATTGTATGAAATTTTATTGAAATTAAATATGCGATGACTTTTGTTAAGCTTTTATATATATATATATATATATATATATATATATATATATATGTGTGTGTGTATAGATGTATGCATGTGCTCCATAACTTTCTGGTTAATTACCGCTGAAAGTCGCCAGTTGTTCAGTTTTAGCCAGCTGATTTATTAAATTGTTCTTTATTAATTAATTTAAAAAAAAAATGTAATTATAATAATAATAATAATAATAAAAACAAGCCAGTATTGGCATTTAGCAATGTCATTGCTATTACAGTTATTACTTTAGTTTTCTTTTGTTTTTTATTTTAAGTTTAAAATAAATTTATTTTTATCTATGTAAAACTTTGCATTACATTTGCTGTTTTTATTTTTTAGATTTTAAATTTTAGATTTTAGTTTTTATTTTATTTTTTTCTTTCTTACTTTTTTTGTTTATTTTGTTTTATTTAATTGAAGCTGGTTGTTTCTTCTCCTTCTTCTCCCTCTTCCTCTTCCGTGTTGTATGCATGAATTTTATATAAGGGTATTATTTTCTATTTTATATGCATTTCCTCCTCATTCTTTTTTTTTTTTTTTTTGTTTTGTATTATTATTTTATTTTAATGATTTTTTTTGTTTGCAAATTGCTTTAAATTAATTATGTAATTAATTTAATATAGTGTGTATATATATATATATCAATGTATTTAATTATATTTAATTTTTGCCAGTTGTGTTTGATTTATGTTTTGTGTTGCAGTTGTGGTTTCTCTTTCTGTTTCCCTTCGTTTTAGTTCTGTTTTCTTATGTATCTCCCACTCACTTTAATATGTGTTCGTGGGTGTTATGGTGTGTGGGTGTGTGTGTTGGTGTATGTGTGTAGGTTCTGTGTACTGTGTTGATTGATTATATAAATATATATACATATATATTATATAGATATAGATATAGATATATACATACATATATATTCATATATATATATATTTGCGTATGTTGCTATTGCCCCTATGAATCTGTAAATAAAATAAAAAGGGAAACAATAAAGAAACGAAAAAGATTTTAATAAAATTCAATGAAATCTCAAATAATACAAACTTATAAAAATACATATTAAGCTTGCAACTTAAAATACAAAATATATTCGCAAGTCAATGGAACGACTAGCACAGGATATGCCAGGGCTTGAATGGAACAAGGACAGCCAATACGTATCGCTTATCGAGTGCGTCCACAGCCAGCCGCAGAGACACGATCTAAAAGTGGACACGACTTATTTTCGGCATGCCGAGACTCTAATACCCTTGTGGATCCAAGTAAACCAAGGGCTATAGGTAAAGCTAATATGAAGTTGAAACCAAAATAAAATTAAGATAGACACATGCAAAGTATACATATAGAAACAGACAACTGGACTTAAGTCTAGAAGACTCAATACAAAGAAATAGAGATAGAGTGAGGCAGAGAGAAAGATCTGATAAGCTAATAACGACTCACTCCATCTATCTGTATATATATATATTGACATAACTGTAGTATCAAGGCCTCCATATTGTTCTGATTGTTTAATTCATTACTGAAATTGCATCTTCTAATATATATATACATATATATAGTTATAAATACTATGAAGAGTCATGAGATACCCATAGTAAAAGAAAATAAAAGCAAAAGTTAAATAAGAATCGATAAGAGCTAAGCATGGACGGCACTCGCTCAGCGGTCAAGTAGAGATAGAGTCGATTGAAAGTAATAAATTTAATTCAGAATATCTTTGTTAGTTTTTCCATTAGTTCTGGTTTTTATATTTCAGTGAGTCAATCGAAACAATGAAAAATAATTTCAACGGATAGTAAAATGTGACAATGGTTTAAATCAATTTTGGGTTGCAACGCGGTCGCGCATCGAATCGAAGCTATGTTGCGGCTGGCTGCCATACATTTCTGGGATGGGTGTTTCGATATTGTATTGTCTGGTTTCAATTTGGTCGGGTATTTGGTCTTGAAATGCTTCTGCTGAATGGGAATGAGTCTTGCGCTGGGTCTTCGTCAAGTTTGATGGATTGAGTGATTTAATAAATTTGGGCATACGAGTCTCAGCTAAAAGCAAGCAACCGAGATTAACACAGATAGAGAGAGAAAGAGAGAGAGAAACATAAATAGCGATAGATTGATAGATAGATTGCTAGTTTATAGATATATAGTAAGATAGATTGACAGATTGATAGATTGATAGAGGCTGATCTACTTGCGACTTGCAACTTGCGACTTGTGACTTCCCTCGAGATGCTGGGCTCACGCTTACTCACCTGTTATGTTAGCGCCGCCAGCATTGCTGTTGGCAATCGCGCCGGCTGCAGTGGCAGCTGTTGCTGCGCCACCGCCACCGCCGCCACCAGTGCCAGCTGCAGCCGCATTCGATTGCTGCGCATTTGGAGCCCCTGCAACAGTTGTGGCGTTTGTTGCGTTGCCACTGTTGCTGCTGCTATTATTTCCCTGGACGCCGCCCACGTTAGCGGCGCCACCGGCGACTGTGCCTCCTGCTGCTGCTGATGTGGGCGCCTGTTGCTGATGCTGTTGCTGTGACTGAACGGCACCATCACCGGACGTACCACTGCCCGCTGAAGAGACGTTAGTTGATCCAGTGGCCGCAGTGGTTGATGCACCACCAGCTGAGGCGCGATTAGCAGTGCTTGGGTGTGCTGAATTCTGCAGATGCTTTGGCAACAACTGTGGCACTAAGCTAGGCTGTATCGAGAGTTCTGCAATAAATCATTTTCGTTACATACAAATCTGTCCCTGAGAGTATGAACTTATATCGTTGCGTACTCACCATGCTCTGTGAAGTTGAAAAGTGGTGGCATTTCGCGACCGTTGGGCAAGGTGAGATTGCCCTCCATACGCAGTTCATCAAAGAACGGATGTGCACAAGCCTTCAGCGGTGTAATGCGGGCGCTGGGCGTGTACTCGAGCAGCTGCGACACCAAGTTGATAGCTTCTGTCGGAGTGCGTATACGGAAAACCTGTGGAATAGCAAATATCAAATTAGAACACAATCAGCTAGCTGTCTTCTTTTAGGCAGGGGCAGGGACTGGGGCAGAGGCAGGGGCAGGTGCAGGTCCACAAAAGGACACGGCATTGAAAGGCGACCAAGCACAATATATGTAAATACAAATAACACACACACACACACACACACACACACATACATATATATATATATATATACAACTATATGTTATTTATATAAATGTATGTATGTATGCACATATGTATGTGGGGCCTCATGAACAAGGCGTACAGAAGGTGAGGCACGTTTAATAGAAAAACAACAATCAAGACAATTCAAGTCAAACTGAATCAAGTTAAATCAAATCAAATCAATTTAAACTCAATCAATCAACATGTAAACAACTTTTAAACACTTTTACAACTGCGAGCGCCTCATGTACATTAAAGCTAAAGCTATATACATTAATCGATTTGGCATGATTTATGAGATTCGCTTTCGCTCCGAGGCTAAATGAGAGTTTCTTTTAAGCTGTATCTTAAACTGGCAAAGGATACTTGGATACTTGCATAACTGTTATAAATGCTACACACATGCAACTGTTATACAATCGGTCTGCTATAAAATCATTAAGGATCAATTGTCTATTAGACACAAATGGTTAATGAACTGTCTAAAATATTAAAATACAACTGTTATACACGCACACAACTGTTTTACAATCGATAAGAAAATGTTTTCTACCAGATTATTTAGTGTTGCTCGAACTGCCTCTAAAATCAGCCTAAAAATTGCTATACAGGCTAACATCTGTTATACAATCGTTCCCAGATTAGACAAATGCTTCTTGAAGTGACACTAAAACTGTCTAAAATACTAAAGTCCAATTGTTATAGACGAAAACAACTGTTATACAATCGATAAGAAACTGTTTTCTCGCAGATTATTTAAATGTAGTTGTTTAACTGTAAATGCCAAAAACTGCCTAATAGTTGTTATACAAACTGACAAACTGAATAGTACAATTTGCCTAACCTATTGTCTTTACAGCTTGTCAAATGAAACAAGAATCCAAACTGTTATATTTGCGGGATACGCATGACCAACAGCTGATTTTACTAATGTTAAGCTTCAGACAACAGTTATGAAATGTGTCTTCTGCGTATGTGTGAATGTTCTCTTTATGTAGGCATTGCAGTGCGAATTATAAAGCCATTGTTTCATCAAAATATTCTTAAGCTGTTTTTTGTTTTGTTTTAAATTTCGTTCGCTTTTGTTTCGGCTTACTCTCAATTGTTGTTTCTGGTTTAGGGCGTTTGGAAATTGGGTGCGTTCGAGTAGTGACTGCAACGAGTTGTTATGTACACTTCAATAACGATTTAATACACACACCAGAAAGAGACAGACAGATAGAGCGAGAGATTCAGTGAGAGGGTAGCGTTAGTGAGATAGAGAGAGAGGACAAAGAGAAAGAGAGAGAGAGCGCTGAGTAGAATCAACTCATTTTTCCACTACATGACATTCTTTCGGTTAGTGACTCAGCAGAGACTACCATATATTGGTGATAATTGATATATTGATTTCTGTAGAGGCTGGTCGATTGAAGGATTGCCGGATATTTTACTGTACAACATATACATGTAGCTGTCGACTGACTTACTTTCTGCCATGGATGACTTTTAATCTGCGGAAATTTGAATTCCGTATAGTTTGGATTCATTTCCCGTATTTGTTCTCTTGTCGGTGTGCCCAAAACCTTGATCACCTCAACCAACTGATCAACACCAGAATCACCGGGAAATATGGGCTGTCCCAGCAAGAGTTCGGCCAGTACGCAACCAGCGCTCCATACGTCTGTTGGCAATAAAAGGTGATATTAGAAATGCTTTACAATCATATGGATACGCAAATATAACAGATATTTTACCGATTTTAGTTGTATAGTTGATGGCGCCAAATATGAGCTCTGGTGCCCGATAATACCGGGAGCAAATGTACGAAACATTCGGCTCGCCGTGCAGCAGCTGCTTGGCGCTGCCGAAATCGCACAATTTGAGTACGGCCGTTTCCGGGTCGAGCAGCAGATTCTGCGGCTTGATATCACGATGGCAAATGCCTAGCGAATGGATGTATGCCAAACTTCTGAACAATTGATACATATAGAGCTGTTAACGTGGAAGAGACAGATCAGACCAGTTTGATTATAGAGCCCATATACCCACAGTTCTACAATACTCACCCGAATAAAGTTGATTGGTATCGTTTGCTTGGTTTTGGCATACTGACGTGCCACTTTGTATACAGTTTCTGGTATATATTCGAGGACTAAATTCAAAAATACTTCATCGCGCTGTAAGAGGAATGTCAACATATATTGCATATTAGAGAAAGTTTATAAATATATAGCTTGTAGTTGTTGGTCTTTTTTTTTGTAATGATCAGGCGAGCTCCAAGCTGCAAGCGGCGGAAAAGTTTGTTGACGGTTGCAAAATTTGACATCAGCATGCGAAATGTGATGTTCGAGGATCAACGATGGCGATAAAGATAACGATTGCGATAACGATAACGATTACGATTCTTACAATCGAGTACTGACATTAAGCAGCACTACGAATATATATACAAGGCATTTATATAGCATCTAGCATCTAGCCGAAGGAATGCTGTGATAAACGAATTTTTGCAGGAAGTGATTTTTCAATTGGGGTAATGTTTGGGCTTGGGAGAGCGGGGTCGGGGTCAGGGTCAGAGGCGCCAAAGCGCCAAAAACAGAAATAAATTAAAATGAAAACAACATGCATACACATATATCTCTCAAGCTTCTTCTACCATGCAAACTTTTGCGGCATCTGCATATATTCTTAGAGAGAGAGAAAGAGAGAGATGTAATATGGGATAGAAAGTCAGAGAGACAGAGAGCGATAATCGCATAAGAGAGTGAACGTTATGTGCGAATCTTTTAAAGAGTTGTCCACTCTTCATATTCTTGTTCTTGTTCTTGTTCTTGTTCTTGTTCTTCTTGTATTTGTATTTCTTACGTAATACCTGCGGCTTGAGCACAGCGGCTAAAATGCCCAAATCGATAGGGAATTCGGCCAACTAATATTAATCGCCATGATTCGTTCGATATTTATATGTAATATAATAGAAAGAAAATCAATTGAAATATATAATAAAGTGCTTATATATATATATATATATTTAGGAATTGAGCCTGAGAACTGTGGAAAGCCGTAACAACTCTAGCGCAAATCAGCTGGGAACCCTCAACACTGATCGTCCTATATTGATTCAAATATCTCTAGATACATATCACATCTTACCTTTTCACCACTCGAATAGAAAAAGTATAAAAGTTTAACGATATTACAATGCTCCAATCTGCGCATTATTTGCAATTCACGATTCTGCAATGGAAGAAGTTCAGAGTTGAGAGTGGAGAGAGTTCGCTTCAATAGATTTGGGACTCTTTTAGTGGCCGCTACTCACCTTAAATCGTCTGTCTTGTAAAACTTTTTTGATTGCAACCAATTCGCCGGTATCGCAGAGTTTCGCCTGAAAGACGACGCCAAAGCTGCCATTTCCGATGACTTTTGTATCTGTATAGGAAACTTCTTGAACCCGATCGGTGCCCTGGCCAGGCGTTGCAACAACTGTTGTAATTTTGGAACCATCGCGACCTGCGAAATGAAAAGGAAAAACCAGACAATGTATATAAGTAAGGTCTTAATGTGGTTGGAAAAAAAATAATAATAACCATTATACTATCGATATCGATTATATCGATAGTCGTAAGTGATCAGTAAGCTTTAGATTCATTCGAAAATTCCATAAAATTATTTGGAAATGAAACAAAAAGTTATATATATATATATATATATATATATATATATATATATGTAAGTATGTATATATGCATATCGTTTATACAGTAATTACAATACGATTCTAAGTGGTCGAGAGAGTAATACCTATTGTCTCCCAGGCGCCCTCGAGTTTCTCCTTGCTTCTATCGACCTCCTTTGGAATGGACAATGCGACGCTGTGCTCGGGCCACAAATCATTCAATTTTCCGATCAATTGTTTCATGCCTGTGGCAATATCAGATCGAATCGCATCAGTTAAGATATCGTTGCGAAAGCGACAAAGAAATATAGCGGGGGGAGAACACCGCACACAACGTGAACGAGGGAGAGAGCCAGAGGGAATGAAAGAAAGGGATCAAGAATTTGTAATTTGGAGTTTGGAATTGGGACTTCTTTCGAGGAGTTAAGGAAGGATCTCAATCATGCAAAAACATGAACAGTGTAAATCTGTGCTCATCTCTTCTCCTCCTCCTCCTCCTCTTCGTCGTCTTCTCCTTGTTGTTCTTTATCATTTGTTATCATGCTCCCATGTGTACATACATAATATATATTTATATATAGATTATATACGAAACATTTCAACTCAGCTGCTAAACGTTTTACGTGATCGCGCAAATTGCGATCGCTTCACCTATATATATATTATCTTTTCATTTGATTTTATTTAATTTATAATTAATTTTGGCATTAGCGCAACTTTCGACGGGCGGCAGCTGCTGTGCCGCATTAGCAGTTCGAGACGAGGCGAGAGGAGATGAAGCGAGGCATCAGCTAAAGGTCAACGCTATTGTGTATAGAGATGGGCTCGACTACAGAGGAATTGAGATTGAGACAGAGAGCCGAGTATGAAGAGTTGGTATAGAGGAGGAAGGGGAAAACTAAGCGCTTGTACTTGGATCCTTGTACTGCTTGCCGACCGAGCCAGAGCTGCGCGTCTGTAGCTTCGGCTTCTTGAGGGCAGCCAACAGCGAAGCCGAGGATGAGGAGGCAGCACCAGTGGCAGCTGGTAGCGATGAGGGCAGCGTTGCTTTACCATTTGCTCGACGCCCCTTGCGGCCATTGGCAGCCGATGAGGATGAGGATGATGTTGTCGTTGATGACGATGACGACGATGAACTAGCCGAGGATGATGAATCCGTGGTTGTTGAAGTGGTGTTATCACTGCTATCGCTGTTCTCGCTGGTTTTTGATTTGTTATCGGAATCGTTGGAGTTGCTTGTTGAATCGCGTTTCTTATGCGGCGCCTCCACTTTGGCCATGGACGCGGACGATCGGATCGTTATACCCGATGATAACAGCGAACTGTTGCCGCCGCTGCCGCCGCCGCTGCCGCCGCCGCCGCTACTGGCGTTCGGCAACGAATGACGTTTGGTCTTCGATTTCGATTTGGTCTTGCATTGGGGCTTACGCGGCGGCATTGGCGTCCAAGGTCGACTGGTGCTTGCGGCCACAGCGGCAGCGGCCTCATGTGCCGCACGCACAGCCTCAATCTCCGTCAGCGGCGCATTATAATAATGTCTCGATGCTGAATTCGAGTTCGAATTCGAATTGTTAAAGTCCTTCGTGTCGCCAGCACTGGTTATGGCTGGAGCACTGCCCGGCGCCGTCTCTCCGGCTCCATCCGACTCGCTGGCATCGTTGATGGCTCGCTTCTTCCTACGCACAACACGCACCACCTTGCGCAGGCGACTGGACGCCTGTGTCTTATCCACTTTGTTCTCAATGATGGAAGCCTATATGTATATAACTCGACTCTATTATATATATATATCTCTAAATCAAGCACACGCGTTGTCAGTCTCTAGGTCTTGATGCCGCTGATGCCACTTGTTCGTGGTTAAAGTTTTTCTTTCTTTTGGTCAGGCTTTGGCCTAGTTGTGTTAACAGTGCGCGCGTGTTTTATTTCTGCCCACTTGACCAACTTTTCTCGCGGACGACTTGCTTGACGTTTAACGCAGACAATTAATCGATTCGATCGCTTCGAACGATCTTCAAATAGAAATGCTCAGCACAAAAACAAAAACAAAAAAAGATATCAAAATCAGTCGAAACGAAAGCAAAATCAGCAACAACTATCAAATAAGTAGCAGCAGCAATTGTCGGCGTTTTATCTCTTAATCATTTATGCAGCTCTAAACACACACATACACCCACATATATATGCATATAAATAAGTATCAAGATATATATCTTGAATAGAGCTAGTTCCGATTTGTATTTCTCTCAATATATATATCTTTATATATGCGGTCGATCGATACGTTAGCTGCGATCCGGCGATGCGATCGCTCGAACTTCCGTTGCACAATTGGCCAAACGCTGCTTTCTTGTTGGCTCGAAGCAAACTTGGCGAGGACGAGCGACAATGACAACGAACGACAACTACGACAACGACGACAACGACAACGTGTTAATGCCAATCGATGCACGATCTGCCAATTCGCAATCCACAATCCACGATCCACAGTCCGTCAAAACAGCTGATTCACTTTGTGGCTTCGAAGCCGCTGAGCGCCGCACGCACGCGACTGCAATGTTTTTTGTTTTGTTTTTTTTGTTTTTTTTTGGCTCTGGCTCATGAAAATTTCATAATTATTTCATTTTATTTTTTCGTTATTTATTTCTGTTGTTTTTGGCATTGCAAATTTAATTGCAGGAAAATTGCGAGCATAAAGATGCCAAAAGAACATGCGAAGACGATAAGACAGGTAGGTTAAGACACAGGCAGACAGATGGATGGTAAAAAGGTAGCCCCAAGACTTGGACTCTTGCGATTCAGGCGGCGCAACTTAGATGGACCATGCCCAGCCGATGGACAGACAACGTTGAGCAGCAGCCAAGCGCAGCCAAGCATGCGACAGATGTTGGCCCCCTAACACCCCAGTAGTCTGCACAGTCCACGTTAGCTGACAGATGCAATGGAGACAGAAAGAGAGAGCGAGAGGAAGAGAGGGTGCGATTGGGGCGTAGATAGAAAGCGCTGCAATCAAAGGATATGCACAAGAAACCAAAAATGAAATACAATTTATTTCATTATAATGAATCAATTAAAAAAATAATATTAGCAAAAAAGCAAACTCACAAAATCATTGTCGGAGGAACATGATCGACAATTAGATACCCTGTACTCTGAATCGATCTGAATTCAAATTCGAATCACATCGAAATAGAATATCCAATTTAATGAACTTTTTATACAACAGATTTAATTTGTTGTGACTTCTACGATACGACTTAATCAGAACTACACAACCCACGGAGTGGATCGTATACTATAGACCATTATGTACAAATATACGCTAGGTCTAATTACAAAAGCATAGCGGCTCAGCAGACCCCTTCTGCTTGCAATTTTAAAGGGCATGACAATAAAAAGGAGGCCAATGTGGCAAACATGGCATTGAAATTCTTTTTTTTTTCGGCACGAGGCGCCACCAAATAACACCACAAATTGGCATACGAAATGCATAAGGAGACGAAATAGGCGTATATATAATGTATATATGTATACATATATATATATATAATGTATATATGTATACATATATATATATATATATATATATATATATATATATATATATATATATATGTGATTCATTCATCTATGAAGTTCTCAGTCCAAAAGTTCTCAAAAAGTAATTTCACATTTCCAAATCAAATTTAATTTCTTTCTTTTTAGTATCCCATAATATATAAATAGAATCGATTTATGATCAAATGAAGTTCGAATTCGATTTTGGGAATAAAATCGTAAAAATAGAATTTTTCATTTGATATGCATAAGGTAAGGCAAGTATATTTAGATTTCCTTCGTCTTATAATTGATGTTGTTTGTCAACGGGAATATTTCCAATATGTATCTATATATATACAAACCAAAACATAACTGTGTTAATTTATCGATGGGAATTACATGTTTCTCAACCAAATAGTTTTGATTTATGTGAATGAATTAATCAAATTGTTAACCCAAATCTATTTTATAATATATATCTATATATATGCTGCACTCCCGATTTGATACACTGTAAATATAGTAAAGAACGCTTTGCCCATGGGTAAATGGCATTAGGGTAGCTAAGCAGAGGAGCGGGCGGTCAGACGGACAGACAGGGTTTGGGGCGTTGTCAAAATAGAAAAACAATTTTTCAAGTCTTTGGCTTTTTTTTATTTTGTGGGGCGACGACAACTAATCGATATACAAACACAGTTGGCAACCAGAACTGCGCTCGCGAGACTCAATGCCGGAGGCAGACGCTGGGACAGGCATTGGGGCCGTGGGGGTGTGTCGATTAACGGTGACGGGGGTCTCGCATGTGCAATGCAAAATACAAAAAAAAAAAAAAAAAAAAAAAGAAAAAACGGCATGACGCAGCAGAACGAAGAGAAACCACTTCAAAACAGAGGCATTGGGAAGCATAGAGAGAGAGGAAAAAGAAGGAAAGCGGGAGTGCTAATACTCACGCACATACATACATACATACACACACTCAGTTGCTAATAACGTGATAGAAATCCGAAACCGAAAACTGTAGACCTCCCATGCACAAGAAGAATTTTTTTTTTTTAAATTATTGAAAACTTCTATTCATTAAAAAAGAGTATCAATTTGCAGTTAAGATGTTACCCATACTCCTATGGATACCCTGTAAATACTATATAATAATTTGTACTAGATTCTCTCTTGATTGTACACGGTTCGCTCTACCAATGATCGCAAAGGCTTGCAAGCATATATAGAATCGTTTTCACCCAGTCGAATAATGACTGAAATTGATCCTTCAAACTGACAACAGCTACCGACTCGCAAAAACTAGAACCTAATCTAACTGCCATAAATTGATTCTATAAAACAATAGAAACATTAGTCCATGAGTTTCGGAACAGCGTGACAAGGAAATGCAACTGGAAACTCTTCTTATATGCATATCATTTATTTGCTCTCCATTGATAACGGAAAGTTTGGCTTATAGATATCTAAGTCTTATAATCTATATTAGCATAGCTTCTTGTTTATTTGTCAGTCAGTTAAGCGGAAACTATACAAATTGTGTAAATCAAAATTCACGAATTTAACAAATCAGATTGACTTGAAGTCTCCTAAGAACTTTCATAATTTGAACCCATTAAAAATGGACCCCATGAAGTTCATATATATTCTCGATCACAACGATGAGGTGAGTTGATCGAGCCAATTCGTCTGTCCGTACTTATAAACCCCGTCATATCGTCCGTCCGTATAAAGCTACAGACTAGCAATATATTCCTGCATACTACAGTCAGTACGAGTTTGAACCTTTTTCTCTCGACAACTCAGCCCATTTCCTTAATATCCATCAGACTCTATAATTTGATTTAGTTTTTTAATTGTAGCTCGAATACAGTAAAGCTAGAGGAATTACTGTCATACAGGGATTTCGTATATTTCGGTTATACTTGAAGTAAACACACACAGATGTCATGAGAATGTACTGTTTGTAATGTATCTATAAATGAAGCGTAGAATGATAGCAAACAGCAGCTCTGCGTAGGATTCACGATGTCTTAGTCGAGCACTCCTGACTAAGGCACCCTTCCTTGTTTGTTATTGCTATTGTTAATTTTCTTTTAATTTATTTTGAATTTGTTATTGCTGAATTTTTGATACTTCTGTAGAAGAAGCAATCTTTCAGCGAATATGAGAATTGTTAAGAGCCGCGTCTTTCGCCTCGTTGTCAGGTGAGTGTGAATGACAACCGAGTGCGGTTAAAAAAAGACAAATTTTTGGCAACTGTATTAGGGAGGGGTGGATATCGCGTAAGTACGTAAATATATTATATATATATATATATATATATATCTATATATATATATATATATATATATATATATATATATATATATATATATATATATAATGTATATATAAATGTTTGTGGGGTTGAAGGCACGCGGTCAGATCACGAGATGTCTCGACCACGGACAAAAAGAAGCACTTGGCAGTCAAACCCTTAGCTGCAGCTGCGTCTCCTTCTCTGTCGTTGCTCTCTCCCATTCAGAGCAAGTAGCTGGCCACCTATATGATCTTGCTCAGTTGCAAACATCGCCCAAATGCGCATTGCATACTTTTAGGTGCAGCGCATAAAACTCACGCCAAAGAAGCCCCAAAAGTGTGGGCGAGCCAAAGCGATTGCATAAACCGAGGCACATTTCAAGACGAATGCGAAAGCAAATGGAAGCCATTTTTTGTTGTTATTGTTGTTTTTTATAACAGATCGATAAGAATAAGGGAGCAAAGAGAAAGAGGTGAAAACTAAATTGCTTGCGGCTTTTGGTGCAGCTGCTTAAACAGCGCAACAAAAGTGCAAAAAGACGTCGAAACAGTTGGATGTAACCCGACGGCCAGAAAAGACTTTAGCAGTTATATTTAATATATACATTCAAATGTATATTTACCTATATAATCGGAATATTTCATCCTGTCCAGCCCCAGCCAAAATACGCAGCATATACAATAAATTAATCACTTGTGCAATTTATGCCAGTCACTTGATGAGCTGATCAGTCATAAGCTAAAGTTAGTTCGATCAGATTGAATATATATATAATTAAGGCTGACTAGCTTGGCTTAGCATCGGATGTGGGTTATATATAGATCGCAGGCTACTAAGGTTCGCTAAATCAGCTGTACTTTTCAATCTGTCTCTATCTATCTCACCTCCACCTCTCCAGCCTCCCCAGCCGCTTCCGCTTTTGTATTTGATCAGTCGGCAACAGCAGTTGTTGTCGTTGTCTAAGTTGTTCATGTTGTTGTTCTTGGCTATAGAGGTTGTCAGGCCCCCCTCAAATTTAAATCAAATCAAAAAGAAAATAACAAAAAATAAAAAGCCAGCAAAACAAGTTGACAAATGTTTTCGACTTGGGAACTGCGTGGCGAAGGCACAGCAACAGCTGTCAAGAAAAGCGCCAGCAGAGACCCGCCTCCATACACATACCAACATATAAATATACTATATATATATATATTATATCTGTATATATAATTAAGTTTCTATATGTACTTAGAGTGTTGTTTTGCATTATTTTTGGACTAAGTTTTCGGATTTCGGTTTGCGAGCAGCAGCGCGTGATTATTAACGCAACAACAATAGCCAGAACAACAACAACAACAGCGACATAAATGTTAACGAAACGTCTATAAAGCGCATTAGTATATGGCGGCTATATAAAAATAATAATAATCAACATCTTTCACGACTTGACGCCCTGCTAAACTGATAACCTGAATATACAGTACTCGTGTCATCTCCTTATCACTCAAAATCTAAAGAGCAACAACGCCAACACCAACACCAAGAACAGTATATACAAATATGTATATATACCACCGTGATACAAATGTCAGCTGTTATAATCTGCTATATAATAGTCTATATCCCTATATTATAAGTGTTTCAAAAATTTATATTAATAGACGTCTATTAAATATTTCCATTTCACATGTAAGTCGCATATCCAAATTCTATATTATCTGTATTCTATGTAGCTGTACCAACAAAAGCTGTTATACATGATATATGACTATCTGTTATACTATATATATTATCTATTATGATGAGTCTAACAAATATTTCCACTCAAGTAATTATCTGATATATAATCTAGCTAATTTTGCATTCTATCTCAATATACTTTCCATTATTATACAAAGATCAGCTGTTATACACATGATATATAACACTGTATTAGAACACATTCCGTATATATAAATATCTCAATTCCATATTAACTAAAATATGTTATATCTTATGAAAAGCATACTCAATATACTCGACTTCCACGTTGCTAATTCTTATTTATCTGAAATATAGACTATATAACTCAGAAATCGGTCAACTATATGCCATATAACACTATATCTCCCATATGTCACTTAAAAATAGTTACAATATCATTTGGAACACCTAATCAATGTATTTTTATTGGTTATACAAATATCAGCTGTTATATATAATAGTTATCAGACACTTTCAATAAATATCTGTAAATAGTTGTTTATCAAGTAATCCCATTTCGATCCGATATCAAATATATGTATATTTATTGGAATACCGTCTTACAATCTCTATCCCTTTCGATCTACAGTATTATCGTATATAAATCAAATATTATATTAAACTGTTACACTTTTATACTGTTATACCTGTAGAGGTTTGTAATTAAAATCAAGTCTAAGATATATCTTATAGTCCCCGCTTGAAGATATATTCGCTTGTCAGTTTTAATTCTACTTTAGGCCCCATTGCGTTCAGTGTTTCAAGCATTTCAAAATGGTTTATGCCATCTCTTTTCATTTCATAATGTCTCTACTCGACTTTTTATTTATATAATAGATATAAAAATTAATTTATATTAGGTCGTAAGACAGAACTATTATATCTCATTTCATATCACCTGACACTGTTCCATTCCATTTCATTTCATTCCACATTACATCACTTTCTACCAGACAAAGGCCTATTATATATATATAAGTATATGTGACAGATTGTGGAACGTAGGATCTCTTCTTCTTAGAGGCAATGACTTTTCAAAAACGAAATAAGAAAAAAATGAAAAAGTGAAAATCATCAGCTGGCATAAATCAACGCTGTCGTCTTATCAATCACTGAGTCCAGCAACAAAGACTAATGATAGCAACACTTTGTGGACTGTTTTCAAACTAGGGCGTAGCATTAGCTAGGGCGGCGTCGCATTCACTTATCAGCCGCCCAATAAAAGCCCCAGAGAAAAAACAGGGCATAGCGATGATTTTTCAGTTGAGCGGAATGACTGAAATGGATCAGTACAATATGTTGCGTTGAAATGTTTTTATCATTTATCGGAATATTATGAAGTACAAAGTGCAGAGAGCGCCACAAGAGACAACTCGAAGCAGAAACACAACCTAAAGCTAAGCATATAATCTAAAGTCTGTATGCCATATAAACTATATGAATAGTCATAGAAATGCTATATTAGAGCAGAGAAAACTGAGTTAAAAACAATGTTCCAATGCCACTCGTTGCCAACCAGTACTCCAGCTTCCTTTGACTAACATAATTTCCCCATTTAAATAGCTTACCAGATAGCACTTTACAAGCTAGATTACGTTCAAATCAGCGAAACTTACCTAAAAAGAGAAACGAGAGAGAAAGAGAGCAATAAGATTAATGCGAACAAAGCAGAATTTAAAAAAATATCATATATCATATATATATATACATAATATAGAAATGGGAAGGCAAGCTCTTTGAATATACATTTAATATGGGGAATTGTTAAGACTTTGATTTGATAAACGATAACACGATGCATTTATCGATAGTTGTCAAATGCCGATTAGTGCGTGGTATTTACCTAGTATGTGCTTAAACTTTTGAACCACTTTGGTCCAACTAACGCAGGATTGTGTTCTAGCCAGTTTTACAGTCTTTACACTCTCGAGGCAATCGTTGCCATCATCATGGTGGAGCGCTGTTTCGGCCTCGGCACCGGTCTCAATCTCATCATCGTCCTCATCCCCGTAACCGGCATCATCTGCTGATCCAATTGACTTCATGTTGTTGCTGATGTTGGCATCATAATGATTATCATGGCTATGACTGCGTACGCGCATCTTGACCATTTCAACTTCAGTATCATCGTCATCATCATCGGCATGGGCATGGGCATGATCATTGCTATCCGGATGGGGATCGGACATCTGTTTGTTAATCGTCAGACGATTTCTATCACAGTGGTTGGTTGTTGTTGTTGTGTGGTCTTTGGTGTCAAGGCCGCTGGCCGCCAAGTTGGAGGCCACCGTTGTGTTACGCTTTTTGCGCTGCTCCTCGCGCTCCCGCTTGAGGATCGCCTTTTGCTGTTTGGCCTGGCGCTGTTTCTGTTTGCGTGCAAACTTCTCACGCAGTTTCGGACTGCCGAATTCGTCCAGATAGTACATGGTGTCCTGCAGGCCATCCTTGCGATTGATCAGCTTAGCATCAATATGCGGATCCTCATTGATCTTGAGCAGCGGGAAAAAGATGCGGCCATCTGTGCCAAGACTGCGGGCATCTCGTCTCTTGGCCGCGGCTGCAGCAACTGTTAAGGGCGCCAACTCTAGCGGAAGCTCCTCCTCGGCCTTCACTTTGGCCGCTATCTCGGCCTTCAGACGCTGCTGCTCCTCATCCTCGTGAGCGCCGATATTGATAATGATGCCCGACTGTGTATCATCTTCATCCCCATCGACAGCAACGCCATCGTCCTCATCGTCATCCTCCACCTCCTCCAGATCGTGCTCATCGTCACGATCATCACCGATGTCCACCTCCTCGATGCGATCCTCCACATCGAAGCCTTGTGTGCTGTTCGTGCTTTTGTATTTAATGCGACGCAGCGCATTGCTGCCGCCAACGCCAACACCACCACCGACGCCGACGCCGACGCCAACATGGCTTAATTCAAGCGCCGATGCGGCACGTGTACGTCCGGCAGCAGCTGCTACCTGTAGCTGCTCATTGCCGCTGCTGCTGCCCAGCGATTCACTGCTGCTGTTTGACTGGCCGCCGCCCGCGCCGCTCGAGTTGCGCTCGCCGACGCGCTGCTCGATGCCGCTGTCCTGGCTAAGCAACAGCTGTTGTTGCTGCTGTTGAGCCTGCTGCTGCTGTTGTGTATGCTGCTGCTGGTGGTGGTGTTGTTGCCGTTGCCATTTCGGCTGCGAACCGTGCAGACTGAGTGAGCCGCTGCTGCTGCGCACCGGCAGCTGTTGCAACTGCAGCAGCGTCGCCTGCGAGCCGCTGCAGAGCTGCTTCTGTGAAGCGCTCGTCACGATGACACCGCTGTCCGCTGAGCCAGTCGACGTTTGAGTTAAGAATCGTTCGCTCAGCGGAATTTTAATAGGTGCACTAATAATATTGTTAATAGTGTTGTTGTTGCTGCTGTTGCTGCTGCTGCTGGTGTTGGCGAGCACCGCATTGGCGGTTGGCGCTGCTGCTGCGGCTTTTGTTGCTGTTGTTGCCATCAGGTTTTCAATGTCTGCTATTATATATTTGTGTTTTATTCTCTTAATCAAAGTCTTTCTCACATACAGAAAAATAAATATGTATTGTGCTGTCTAGTTCTGCTTCTTCTATTCTCTTTCACTTAGGTTCCTTCACTATTTGTTTGAATTTCTTCTACGCACTGACAACTTTGTTGCATCAGAGTCACATTGCCTGATCAATAAAATGCAATAATATATAGTTATATATTTTTAAAAGAAATTTCTTTATTTTTTAACTCTTTTTTATAGTTGCTTTGTTTTTATTGTTGAGATTAAGAAAGAGATAGAGAAATAGAAATATAAATGGCAAAACATTTTCGCATTTCACATTTATTTTCGTGTACTGTTCATTTTTGTTTGCTTCTATTTTTAGAAATAAAAAAAGCTTGTGAAAAATAGATATTTTCCTCAAGACAACTTTCGTTCGCCTGCGCCACGCAATAAAAACAAATCACCATAAAAAAAACACACACATACACACACACGCACGTGAAGAAAAACGAAATATTTTCCAAACAAATTTTTAAAAAATTAATAAAAAATATATATAAAATTACGCGCAGGTGTTGAATTTGCTGGTATTATTATAATTATTTATTATTTATTTTTATTTTTGTTTCTGTTATTGTTATTGCAATTTGCTAAGAGACTCAATTGGCACTCATGTGCGGGCGCTCTTGGGGTCGCGATTGAACTGAAACTGAAATTGAATTTCCAAATTATCAACAGCGACAACAGCAAAAGCGTCGCTGCTGGCGCCGCTGACTGACGCATATGAAATACGCTCACTCACACACATGCATATACACACAGGCAGGCACGCACGCACACATGCGACGCAACGTACGGCAACGGAACAGCAAAGAGAGCAACAAACGAAAAAAGAGAGCGAGCACAAAGTACAAAGCACACAGAGCAAAAGCGAAAGTCATTAAGTTTTGTTGTGTGAGTAGCAGCAGCGTCGTTCAAGAGGAATGCGGAATGGAACACACTCTATGCTAGTTACTTGATAAACAGCAGCAACAGCAGCAGCGACATGCGCTTCCTTCTTTTAGCTGTAGCCTTTAAAATGGGGCACAACAGTGGGAAATTCACGCTCACATACTCACACATGTACACAGAGGCAAACATATTGTTCTTATTCTAATCTTATCATGGCACGACCCGAAAACTTTGGAGGTAATCAGAGTATATAGTAAGTAAGAACTGAGAATTTGAAGGTTTGGGCGTCTCTTTGTCGCTCTTTGCTGTTGCTGTTGTTGATGTTTTTCTTTTTGCAAAGCGGAGGTGTTAAATCAAACAGTAAAGTATAATGTATGCATATAGCGTATAGCCAGTGAGTATCGAAATAAGCGAAAAACACGAGAGGTGAAACACACAAACAGAGACACGTGTGTGTGTGGCTGTCTGTGAGTGTGTGCGTGCGTGGGGGCGGAGAGGGGCTTAAAACGATTAAGCTTGAGGGATTTGTGACGGGGACTTTAAGGGGTTACAACTTATTAAATATGTACATATAGTAAAAAATGCGCTCGATTGTAAAATCAACAACAACAACAACAACAGCAGCAGCAGTGGTAATAAAAGGTATTGCCAGAAGGCAATTTTTAGTTGCTTGCGTCGCTTGCGTTGCTCAAGTGCAAACAGTGGAAAATTTTCGAGTTGCCTTCGTGACGGTCGCTATTTGTTCTTGTTCTTGTTGTCGTTGTTGTTTTTGTTGCTGTCGCTGTTGTTATTCTTAGGTTGTGTCCACTTGCCATGAACTAGGTCCTAGCACGCAAAAACACTGTTGACAAAGGACAAAGGATAGGCGAGTTGGTTTGAAACACAGCTCGTTAGTCGTTAGCGACGCATTAGCGCAAATTAAAGGAGTGTCGGCGCACCGAAACAAACTGGGAATGAAAACAACGGTACAACAGGCTATGGCTAAGCAAGCACTCCATTCCACTGCAAGCCGTATCATATGACGATCATAAACTGGGAAATTCATTTGACAAATTTGTAATGAATAAAGTTTATATATATATATATATATACATTTATATAACTCTATTCATATTCTAATTTAAAACAGTCGCAATAATATAAGTTTACTAATTATGATTTCTACACTTTTTTCCCTAACTCTATTAAGGGTCAAACAGCAAAACTTTGCATCTGTTAGAAACTGGTTAAATTCCAACTTTCTCCAGTCGTTGCTGTTGCTGCTGCTTCAAATCATTTTTGTGGCCCCCTCAACTTGGTCAACTGCTAACATTTGACCACCTGTCTAGCTGTCTACCTGTTTGTCCATTAGACTAGAAGACCACTTAGACCAACTGACTTCATTGACATTTGACTTAATTGCCTAATGACATGTTCTTCTTCTTCTTTAACTAGTTTTAGTTTCTTAAGGCTTTAGGTTGTGCGCATTTAAGGCAGGTAAATATATATATATATACTTTTATCGACGCAACTTTGACCAAAAAAGTAAACACTAATCCTTTCCCCAGCTAACACACACTAATGCATAATGCTATTCCCATTACCTCTATAATTTATTTAACAGCCACAACAGAACTTGGCCCTGACGCATTTGGCCTTCTCCAAAACCAACACGTGTCCACAAAAAGCTCCCCCTTTCCCAACTATCCGCCCCGCCCTACACGCCCCTCGACTTTTCAAGAAATCAAATACAATTTACATGGCAAATGAGTTGAAACATTGTTGGTAAGGTTAAAAACTTTGGGTCTTGAACTTGCATGTCGATAATTCAACGGCCAACGTCAGGCATTTAATAGTGGGTCTCACCATTTGCTGTTATACACACGCGAGCAGAAAGAGACAGAGAGGAAGAGGGCGAGTAGGTGCTGCCCCCCAACAGGTATAAATAGAACTGAGAAATGGACACAAACAAGGGTTGTGAACAGCTGGGGTTGTTCTTTCACCCAATGCCCATATAAATATCGATTCTTGAGAAAATCCAACACTGGAGTTAAGACATTGATATACTCTATGGAGGATTTGGACTGCAAGTCATATGAATTGCTTATATACACAGCTATATAATATATCTAATCTCTTTTATTTATACCCATATTTATTTATTTAGAAAAGTTCTTCTGATCTTACACTACCTACTCACATTTTTGCATTGCTCAAAGGTATTTTGCAGGTATTTCATTTGATTCCTTAATGAACTTACATTCGTTAGTTTAACATTTCGAATCAGAATTTGCATTATGGTTTCTTCTTCTTTCTTGTTGCATTTGCAAAAGAAAACAAAAGCAGCTCTGTCTGGCTTGGCAACCCAGTTGATTCCGGTGCGTGTTGGAACAAAAACCAATTAACTGGTCAGCAGGTGTGGCCAGTTGAGTTCGAAATGGGTTTGCACTGATCGCTCTGTCAATAGGTAATTGCTTTTAAATGCCAGCGACGCCACCAAATGCAATTATTGATGTTTTGACAGCTCTAGTTATTATTGTTTTCCATTTATATATATATATATATATATATATATATATATATATATATATATATATATATATATATATATATATATATATATATATATATATATATATATGTACAAATATATATAATTGTTTGTTTTCATTCGTCGGTCATTAGGCGACTCGAACTGAATTTCTGATAAGACAAAGTTTACATTCCAAATGTATATGAATTCCCATTTATAGGTTTTCTCCTTTCCCGTTCCCATTCCATTCCAATTCCTCTTTATAAATTATCTTTTATATGTCAATTACTCAATTTTAAAAATTCCATTTCGATTTGTATTCCCACTTGTACTCTCTTTTTGCTATGCTCATTATCCAATTTCAGCAGTTCCATTTCCATTTTCATTCCCACTTAAAAACGTTCCATTTGCCTTTCCACTTGTAGATGTATTTTCTTATTACCCAATACCCAATTTAAAAAAGCTCCAATTTCATTTGTTTTGCCATTTAAATATTCTCTTTCAGATGTTAATTATCCAATTTCAGCAGTTTCATTTCCATCTACAGATTCCATCCTATATGTCGATTACCCAATTTCACCCGTTCCATTTCCATATTCATTTCTATTTACAACCGTTCCATTCCCATTCCCACTGTATCTAGATTAATATGCTACTGTCAATTGTCCAATTTCATCCGGTTCATTATCAGATTTTGGCAATGCTACTTCCAATTTCAGTCCCCTTCCTAGACTCCCCTCTTAATGACGATTGACCAATTGCACCTGTTCCGTGTTATGCCTGCACTGCCTCTTGTTCTTCTTATGCCTTTTCCATCGTTCTTTTGTCCACTCATTGTCTTTCGAGTCTTTGGCAAATAGACGTGAGGAGCCCACATTCAAATAACGAAAATCTCTAGAGGCGCTTTCTTTGATTATTGTTGTTGTCATTGTTGCTGTTGCTTTTGTCACAAATGAAATGCAAATATTTCATGTCACTTTGTGTTTTCTTCTTTTTCTCTCTTTTTCCCTCTCTCTCTCTCTTTGTTGCTACATGTTTCGAAGCACCTTTTACTTTCATTATATCATAAGCTTGCTACTCAAATGACCATATTTGACCAAGAGACGGCGCAAAGACCCCACTAGGCCAGACTGAGCTCAGTTTAACTAGAGCAATCAGCAGATAATGCCCGAATTTCTATTTTATACTGCATTGGGCAACATTTTTTAGATTTATTCATATAAATCGTAAATGATAGACTAGCAGATATCTTATAAACATTTTCATCACCATGAAATTTGCAGAGCGTTCCTAACATTTTCTTCAGATAAGAAAATATTATATATAAATAGAGTCATAGCTAAAAGTAATACAGATCAGATAAAGACAAAGAGGCGTTCAGACACTGACAAATCGATAATCAAAGCAGGGCAACAACTTCTGTTCTTTATTTGTTATTTCATGCAAATACTTTTGATAAGTCAAATTATGTGTCATATAAAGATATTTATATATAAATATATGTAAGTCAACAGACAATGAGATGACAACAATGAAACAAAGCAAAGTTTAATTAAATAGAAAATGTTGATTACTGCGAGCGAGTAAGTGAGCACAATCTATAGAATACATTATATATATATATATATATATATATATAAATGTATAATCAATGTTTAACCATCTCTACATGTATATATAAGCTAATAGTGCTCTAGTAAAATGCAAGTGGGTGATAA